AAAGACCCCCGATACTTCCCTGGAAATAACAAAAATAGCCTGTCGGTGATTTTCACACCTTTTTCCCGATGGGCGTTTACCTTCATCAGTGATTGCCTGAAAAAAAAAAAAAAAAAAAAAAAATGGTTAAAACGAGAGAAGCAGCCTGTTCGGAGGGGTGCTGTGTTGCTCTCCTCCCCTCACGCCAGCCCTCAAGCTTTGTTCCCCTCACACCTGGGCTGGCCAGCCACAGCACTGTGAAGGGAGAGCGGTAGAAAATCAGGACGAACGACCATGCCGCTGATTCGTACGCGCGTTTATACAGGTTTTATAGCCGTTTTAATGACGACCGCAGGCGCCCTCAGCAGCCTGACAGAGCGACTGAACGCCCTGGGAGCTGTGGGGTTAAACGTTCCCAACATGGCGGCGCGCCAGCGCACCGGGAAGACTACATTTCCCGCCGGCCCACGTGACCCCACCGGGCCAATGTGGAGCGGCGGAAGGCAGATATAGCCCTTCCTGCAGGGCCCGCTCCCTCCTTTCCGCCGGGCGGCGCGGCTCAAGATGGCGGTGCAGATCTCGAAGAAGCGCAAGGTGAGGGCGGGTTCCCGGCTCGGCGCGACCGTGGGGCGCCTCCATATCGGCGGGGATGGCGTCGGGGGAGGCCTCGGGCCTCGCCGAGGCGGGCGGCGGCGAGGGGATGGCGGCGGATACGGGAGGATGGCGGCGGATGCGGCTCGGTGGCCCGGCGGGGAACATGGCGGCGGGAGGTCGGGGTGAGGCGGGCCCAGTGCCGTCCCCGGGGCCGGGGGTGGCGGGAGCCGTGATTCCTCCCCACAGCGCTGCGTGGGGCCTGCACAGGGCTGTGGGTTTGTACTGAGGAGCGGTGCTGGGAGCTGCTGAACTCAATTGTTTTTTCCTTTATTAGTGAAAAGAGTTTTGGTTTTAGTGACTGCTTCTGTGGGTGTGCAGGGGAGGGGGGGAGGCTTGGGGCTTGTGCAGTGTCAAGGTGGAAGTGGGAACTCTAGCAACCCTGTGGGGCTGCTAAAGGGATATGACCCCTTTAATTATTTTACGTAAATTTATACTGAATCAAAGCACCACTGCAAGACAACAGAGCTGTGATTGCATCCTTCAGCACGAAGTGTGGCTGTAGCAGTGGATCAGGCAGTGATGTAGGCTCCTGCCAGAAGTAAATTGTGTTTGAGTGACAGCTTCAGGGGAGATACTTTTGCTTCACCCCACTGCTGTTTCCGTGGGGGACGAGACTGCCAGTCTGCAGAATGGTCCCGGGGATGAATTGCACCCAAATTCAGCATGTGAAAGTCTTGTGTTCAGGCTGCGCGCTTGAACAGGGCTTGACTTGGTCTGTTTGTTTTTTTTTTAGTTTGTCGCTGACGGTATCTTCAAAGCTGAGCTGAATGAGTTTCTGACTCGTGAACTGGCTGAAGATGGGTACTCTGGAGTAGAAGTCCGGGTTACCCCAACCAGAACTGAGATTATCATACTTGCCACAAGGTAACTGAGATGCTGCTGTTGACTCAGAGGTGCTGTGCAAGGCTGTGAGGGATGTTGCTGCAGGCTGAAGCTTAAAGTGGTAAATATTATATCAGGAAGCTACCTGGGAAGGAGATCCTGAAGTTAACTTTGGTGATAGTCCAGGGGTGTAACACTGCTGTAAGTTAGATGCTTAGTCTGGAAGCTCTTTGGGATGGTTACAGGCTCAGACCTGGAGATACTTTTATCACTCATGCTGTACATTTTTTTTCCAGAACTCAAAATGTTCTGGGCGAGAAGGGGCGCCGCATCCGGGAGCTGACAGCTGTCGTGCAGAAGAGGTTTGGATTCCCTGAGGGAAGCGTTGAGGTAAAACTGTCTTGGTTAAATCAGTAGTAAGTGGACAGTGCAGTTAGCTTTGTGCGTTGTCTGGATGGTGTCAGCTGAAAGGTGGTTTGACTTGAAGATGACTTGAGGTGTTTTACATAATCTCACAAAACACTTGTACACTGAAATTTAGAATGCTGTTTGTGGTATTTTGAGTGCTGTCACTTCAGCTGTTTTTCTCTTGTTTTTCGAACAAGGAGGATGCAGATAAGACTTTTAAAACTTACCTATATTTTATAGAGAATGCTGCTGCCCCAGTATTGAGGTGAGAAGCTAGCCTAACAGCATAATGTTTGGTATTTGTGTATGACCATTACCCTTACTGAATTCATAATGCTTCTGTCTTTACAAAGAAACTGTTTTGGTGCAGAAGGATCTTTGAGGTTTTTGAGTATGATACTGTAATAAAATAGTAAAGTAACGCACCAGTAATTAACGGTCTTTTGGTGTTTGAAATCTGACACCCTTACTAGTACTTTCCTCTAAAACAAATTAGGGGTGGAGGGGAATGTGTGGTCTGGGGTGGTGCTCACATTTATTCCAGCTTGGCCAGTGTTGCTGGATCACATTATACAGTGAAGATTGCTGATTATCTCCAGCAAATTCTTAAACATACTGAATGGTACAAACCTTCACAGAGCACGTCATGGTTTGTCAGCTCTGGGAATATTGCATGCATGATTTTGAATGTCTGCTTCTTCTGAAGTGTCAGACTTTGGTCTGTTGGAGATGTTAGGTTTAATAGACCTTACTCTCCCAGCTTTCAAAAATCAAACCTTTTCTTAGTATTGATTTTAATACTTAAGCAGACTTGCGTAACTGATGTGTGGTAAAGACTATCACAAGTGAAGTTCTTCTCATTGCCTGGACACCTCTCTCCAGTGATAACTAATGTTTTGGGACGGTTTGAAGCAGCAGCTCTTTGAGACTGCACTATGAATGTTTTAATAGTCTGCTGACATTCAGTGGTGTGTCATCAGTGTATCTCAGCTCTGCCAGGAATAGGGGACAGGCACCAGAGGAGTTAAGGGAGTGTAGTGTGCGAGGATAAAGCTTCTGCATGTAAATGTGGAAGGACTAACTGAACTGAGTGCAGAGAATGGGGCATAAAGTAGTATGAAGCTCCTGTATTCTGTTGTATTAAAAGCATCTTGAAATACAGCCTTGTTTCTGAGTTTCCTTTTTTTCCTTTGTAGCTCTATGCCGAGAAGGTGGCCACGAGAGGTCTGTGTGCAATTGCTCAGGCAGAGTCCCTGCGGTACAAGCTTCTGGGAGGTTTAGCGGTGCGTCGGTGAGTAGAGCAAGTTGAATGTGATGGCATAGTGAGGAAGTATGGGATTCAAATACCATGTAAAAAAATCTTCCTTGCCAACTTGTCTGTAGCTTGAAAATGTAATCTAGTAATGCTGCACCTGGAGAGGGCAGTTCATATTTTTGATAATTCTACCCTGTAGAAACTTTTTGTTTAGTACAGGGTTACTTCTGATAGTAATTGCTAGATAATGTATTTCAGACCTAAAAGTTGAAGTCTTAGAGTAGATCAGAATACAGGTTGTTTGACTGGTGTGCATAAAGCCTGCATTTGTCGATAAATGGGTGGAGGAGTGAGACACAATTTCAAGCCTTCTGGCTGAATTGTAATTCAGGTGACAGTGGCTTTGCTTCTCAGATCCCTTTGGTGATGATAAGATGACGAGTCAGAAGTGGGTGGCTCTTGTTGCTGTACCTCTGCAGTGTCATTTTTTGTGATGCTGCATGTGGTTCTTCAGCAGGAACATCCTGTCATCATTGAATGATTTAGAGGCATTTGTCTGAGAAGGGATGTGGAGCTGCAGTCATGAGGTGGCCACTTTCAGCTGTGGAGCTGCTTTTGTGTCACAAAAAATGTGTGCTTGTCACTGTTCCCACAACCTTCCAAGGACCATAAGTCACAAGAGTTTTCTTAGGCTGGGTTTGACAGTGCTGAAATGGTGTGAAGATTTTTGCTGTTTTGCATAGCATTGACAAGAGTTTTGGTTGCCCGAGTGTACATTTGGAAGGCTTTTTTACAAACAAGAAGTTGAACTGTGATTATCTGTGCTTGAAATTGGTGTGAAATGCCTCCATGGAGCCATGTGGATCTGACAAGAGCAGGAGTAATGCTGTGGCTGTTGCTGCTCTCTCTGCAGAGCTTGCTATGGTGTCCTCCGCTTCATCATGGAGAGCGGCGCCAAGGGTTGCGAGGTGGTTGTGTCTGGCAAACTCAGAGGTCAGCGTGCCAAGTCCATGAAATTTGTGGATGGCTTGATGATCCACAGTGGAGACCCAGTGAATTACTACGTCGACACAGCTGTGCGTCACGTCCTTCTCCGACAGGGTGAGTGGCTGGGAGGCAGATCCCTTTGCAGCTCAGTTGGTTCCATCAGTGCTTCAGAGCCAGAAGATCTCATCTCCTGGTGTCCTGTGCCCACTGGAGGCTTCCTTCTGGCACCTGTGGGGTCGTAACACATGATTTTAGATGCACAACTGATCTTGCAGAGTGGTTCACTTGTGCTACCACTAGTTGTTCTAACTGAAAATCTGTTGTTTTCTTGGGCTTTTGCAACTAAGCTCTCACTCTGCGGTTTGTACATTACATCTGAAGTAGAACTTTATTTGCATTTGTGTATGTGAGTGCAAAATGGAGAAGGGGCCTTCAGCAGGCAACAGAATTCAGTGTAGTCGTCCCAGGTAATCCACTTTTCCAGTGGTGGGGATTCGTTGTTTCCAGTTGAGAATGTGGCTTTAGATTTTCCAGATACTCTCACTTGTGTCCTGTGGCCTCTGAGGTTGGTAGCAAAACAACCTACAAATGAAATCCATATGGACTGAGTTTAAGAGCTGTTGGCAGTTTGGATTATGGTTGTATTGGCTTCCAGGGCTTGGCAGGCTGACCATGGGTGCTAGAAGACCCACAAAAAAGCCAGTGTCAGACGGTTTCCCCCCATAGCTGTGCCCTGGCAAGTCTTCCCAGCTAAACCAGCCAAGCCTGCTCACACTTGTCCTTTCCCCTGGTAAAAACACAAATGACTTCTGCATTGTACTTGGCTTTAGGTTCCTTAATTGCAAAATACCTGGAGTAGGGATGCTAGCACAGACTAAACTATTGTCCACTTTCCCTTCAGTGATGATACGATGACGAGTCAGAAGGGATGTCCTTGTGCATTGTAGTCTCCTCAGCACCACGTTCTGTGGTGCTGTGCTAAGGCTGCCTTGGGCAGGATGTCCTACTCATTGGATGATTTAGAGGCATTTGTCTGAGAAGGGATGCAAAAAAAACAGTGCTATTTCCTAGAAAAATGAGCTGAATTGTCCCAGGAAGGACATAGTTTAAAACCAGGGTTAGCATGACTCAAGGATATAGCACGTTTTCATCATAGTCCCAGGGTGCAGTTAGCAAATGAAGTGAATTGAATGAAGGTAAACATGCTGATGTAAATTCACAGTAATTATATTTTTAAGGTATAGCACGTTTGTGTTAATCAGCTTGCATCGTCTGTGTTGTCAGGGGATGTTTTTGCTGCAGATAGCATATTTTGTAACCTTGGGGCTTGTCCCTACTGAATGCGTGCTTGATATTTTGTGTTAAATGAGCAGGTCTCTCTTGTCCTGTCATGCTTTGCAGGAGTACTGGGTATCAAAGTAAAGATTATGTTACCCTGGGACCCAAGTGGAAAGATTGGCCCGAAAAAGCCTCTGCCAGACCATGTCAGCATTGTGGAACCCAAAGAAGAGATCTTGCCCACCACCCCCATTTCAGAGCAGAAAGGTGGCAAACCAGAACAGCCAGCCATGCCTCAGCCGGTTCCCACTGCCTGAGGGGTAAGTGTCTACAAGCGGTGGGAGGTAGCTTTGGCGAAGATCCGTGTGGAAAAGGTGTCTCATCACCAAAAAAACTGTCGGGTATTTGGGGTACTGGGAAGAAAAGCTGCTGCATTGTGCTAGGTGCAGTGATCAGCTGGGCTAGGTTTTAGACTATTGCCCTGGGTGAAAGGGACATGATTTAAGGCATGCTGCAAACCAGCTAAGCATACCCTTCAATGAAGATGAGATGACGAGTCTGAAAGACAATATCCAAGTGCTCTGTTTCGTGTTGTGTTCTACAGCATGGATTTTGGGGACCTTGGATCACATTTTGAGTGACATAGAGGCATTTGTCTGAGAAGGGTTCAGTGTCTTGGACGTTTTCACATTGTACCACCTGCTACCAGTGTTCAGTTGACAGCACAGAGTATATATTCCTCATATAACCCCCCTCATGGGATGCAGTTTGGGTTAGACTTAGAAACCAATAACATCAAGCATGTTATGTAGGCGAGTTTTGCAAGTAAATAATCAAGGTTTGAAATCCTGTCTCCCTGAATGAGTAGCTTCTGAGACAGAAATCAATAGCTTGAAACTGTCCGAGACCTGCTCTGGGTTGTTCCTGGTGAGAATGTGGAACTTAATGCTTTTAAAAGTTTGCTCGCTTTCTCTGATCAGAGCAGCAGGAGGCAGAGGGCCTAAGGCCTCTTCCACAAGACTTCCTTAGCTGCTAGTGAAAGCCAGACTCTGTTCTCTGACTGAAGCTGGCTTTGTATGAATAGGGAGAGTTCAGGGAGTTTGCGGGGTCACAGTGAAACAAGGGAATCCAGCTAGCAAGGTCTGCTCCTGTGGGGAAAAGAGAGATCACTGGATAAAATGGAAGAAGTGAGATTCTGTTTAATTTGAAAACTTGGAGCCTGTTTGTTTGTTCTGGGTAGAATGGTTATGGGAAATGGTTTGCCACCATCTCACCCTGTATTTTGTTTTTTTCTTGTAGGGTTTGTAACATCTACAACCAGAAGCTTGACTGTCCTGAAAACATCTCTTAATAAAATCACAAAAGACAGTGTTTGTGGAGGTGCTTTTTTTTTGCAAGATGTATTCCAGGAAAGCCTTGCTCCCACTTTTGGTACGGAAGGAATTCTGCTGCATTTCTTCCAGCTTACAGTACCCTTTTGGAGTGTACTTAACAGATCCTGATCTAAACAAAGTGGGGACAAAATGCTGATTTCTGGGTAGAGCTGGAGCAGCAATCTGGTGTTAGAGGTCCTGAATAACAGAACTGGAGTAGTACTGGCAGCTCCACATACCAGTCCCTTCCTTTGAAGTTTCCATAAGGGGGAGCTTTTTTAGCAGTGTCAAGAGCAGTTGCAGTAGTTCATACCTTTCTGACTTCAGCTGAGGTGTTACTGTATTCTACGAACTGCTTTTTTTACCTCTGTACATCCATTTTCCTTATCACTGGAAAAATGTTCACTGTGTGAATTCTAGGGCTATAGACTGAACATGACCATTATAGCTCCTGTTTGGGTCAGCTAGCTTTAGTTGGTGGAGCAGTTGGGTGAGATAAACTTCTGAGTAGATGTTTACACATTAGTTGGGAGGGGGGAAAAAAGGAAGTGTACTCTGAATTTCAAACCTTCTGTCCTAAGCTTTGAGATGGAAATACATTTAAATGATCAGGGAAGAGACTTGTCTTCCTTTGAGGCTTGACTAGACAGTCTGTTAATTTGTCACTATTAATAACTGGCTTTTATGAGCTGCAGGATAACAGGTAGATCCTGAAGTTGATAATATTGACAAGACTTGTTATGCTATTGAAATGCCTAGTATGTAGGCAGGGATGTGTTTTTACTTCTGTTGCTGTATGAATTGCTTCTGATGCTGTTCTTGTCTGCTGTGGTCAAGCTAAAGCCCTCTACCTGAAGCAGCGAGATGGACCATTTGGTTAAGTTTCAGGCAGAGATTCTAGTTCTGTCAGTTCCTTTCCCAGTGTGTTTTTCAAAATCTGGTGCAGTAATGGGAAGAGGCTGTTACTCACATTATAAGAGATTGTGTTGTGCATAGGATCAAGGCTTTGTTCAGATTTCAAGAAATTCAGAACCTCTTTGTTGCACTAACAAATATTGTGCAAATCTGCAAAATTTGCTGCTTAGGAATAGCTTTTACATCCAGATTTACATTTTCAGGAGGCTTCTCTGCAGGAGCTAGGCAGGCAGCTTATGGACTGGAATTTCAAACTGACAGTGTCAGGAACTGGTTTGTCTGGCAGTGTGTGGATGTGTGAGCCTCAGTCTTCCTGTTCCCAGCTTCTCTGGCAGGTCTCCTGGAAACCCGGCCTGGCAGGGTGCGGGCTGGGAAGCTGGTTAAGCCTGTCAGAAACAGATGTGCCTTCTCAGTGTGTCAGAGGATAAGTCTGATGGTGAGTTTCTGTGCACATCTTTCTGTGGAAAGCTTTAATACTTAGCTTGTAACTTTTTTTTTTTTTTAAAGTAAGCAATGCATTTTTTTTTTTTTAATACAAATTTACACTTGGAAAAAAATTCCAAAAAAAAGACCAGGTTTGTCACTTTACAGGAGCAGGAAATGTGTGAAAGCTGGAAAGCCTGAAGCAATAGAAAAGTGACACACAGTGCAAGGCCTTGCCTGTTGTGTCTAAATTATTAAATGTCCCAGTATGCTACATGATAATCAGCTAGAAATTTCTCCTGCAGTCCTCCAGGGAAGGCTGGCTTTCCTGGAGATTGCTCTGTTTATTTTGGCTTTAAAGACCTCCAACCCAGTCCATCAGCCTGTTAATCTGTCAGTGCTGATCAGAGATGTTCAGTTGCTTGTGTGCAAGATCGAGGGATGTGCAAGTAGTGTGATTAAGAGTGGTATTGCTGTACCTCTCTTCTTGCTAGATCCATCCTGTGAGAAGTTGAAGACAACATCAGGGATTACCGCTGTGGTGAGACCCCACCTGCAGTACTGCATCCAGCTCTGGAGTCCTCAGCACAGGAAATACATGGACCTGTTGGAGCAGGTCAAGAGGAGGCCACCAAAATGGTTGGAGGGCTGGAACACCTCTGGTGTGAAGAAAGGCTGAGAGAGTTTGGGGTGTTCAGCCTGGAGAAGGCCCTGGGGAGACCTTAGAGCAGCCTCCCAGTGCTTAAAGGGGGCTTATAAGAAAGATGGGGACAAACTTTTTAGTAGGGACTGTAGTGGTAGGAGAAAGGTAATGGTTTTTAAACTGAAGGAGGGTATATTTAGACTAGCTGTAAGAGACATTTTTTACAATGAGTAGGGTGAGACACTGGAACAGGTCCAGAGAGGTGGTAGTAGGTGCCCCTTCCCTGGAGGGGTTCAAGGGCAGGTTGGACGGGGCTGGGAGCCCCCTGGGCTGGTTGATGATGTCCCTGCTCATTGTGGGGGGGTGGCGTTGGACTAGATGACCTTGAAAGGTCCCAACTCAAACCATTCTGATTATTCCATGATGGTCAAGGTTTGCACATTACCTTTCTAGCGTGCAGTGGTTGGAGTATACTTGCAAGATGAGCTAGGGGTAGGATGAGCTCAGGGGCTTTGGAAAGCTTTTTAACTTGCTTTTTAATACTGCTGTTTCAGGTTGGTGGTTGTTATGGTTGGTGCTGGAGATGGCTTCTGTAACTTTGTGCAGTGAAAGGCTGATCCAGCGAGCACCCAAGTGCTTTTTCAGTCAGAGGAGCTCCACCCAGATGTGTGTGCCTGTCTGTCCCAGGCATATGTGATTTTTGGCAGTGGGAAAAGAGGAGATGCCTGTGACATTAGTTTTGCTTGGGACTGAGTGGCGGAAGGCAGCATGCTTGAATGGACAGTGGTTAATCCCTTTCCAGCAGTGAAAGGACATGGGCCAGCAGGGTCTGACACTGCTGGAGTTTGCAAGATACAGCTGTATGCCCACAGGGATGATGCAGGTGGTTGCAGTTCTTTTTCCTCCTCCATTTCCCTCGATTGGACACCAGCTAGAGAAGCTTTGGGTCATAGGGTGAGGAAGGTTGTTCCCTGTAGCTGACAGTTCAGTTTTATTCCTACGCTGCTGTATTTTCTTTTTTTAACTGAGCCATTTGCTGCTCTGTTAAATGCCAGGGCAGGACATTAGGTCCTTTTACTTGTGAAGCATTGATGATGCTGCATACTTGGAGTTTTAGGAGCAAAATGTTATAGTGTTCCTTTCCCATGACACAGATGTGGTGGGAATTCATGTGTTTTGTATGAAGCGTAATTTTGGCCCATAAATAGCAGATTAAGAAAGGTGTATTGGATTTAAGGATGGCAGAGTACTTTGTCTCTACTCAAACCCTGCAAGTGACTGGCTACCAGAGGTTCATTGAAAAAGTTTTATTGCAAAATTATACAACTGTCATGGTGTGGTACAAGAACAGACAATAAAAGCCATCAGACGCCTGCATCCACATGATGCAAATTATTCACAATGTCCCACAGTGTGTTCTTGCCTTGCCCACCCCTTTTACCCACCCCCCCCCATCCTCTGTCTCGTGCTACAGCGTGTGGGTTTCAGTGCGCTGATTCACCGGGTAGCATCTAGCATACACGCTGGGCTTCAGGCTTCCTGTGCATTTGGGTACATCCCGGTGGATTGCCTCCTACCTCCCGACAAAGTTGGGAAAGCACCTAGGAATACGAGCTGGGAAGGGGCTTAAGGACAAGAATCTCCCATTCCGGCTGGCTTGGATAGGAATTAGGGCAGATGAGTTTTTCTGCAGTCGTGTAACCTTGCAAACCTAGGGAAGGCACAGTCAGGTCAGACTTAGGGGCACAAGCTGCTGTAGTTTGCCTGTAGGAAACGCCCAGTAAGAGACTCTGTAGTTGTAAGTTAATAAATAAGTGGAAATAATCCTGTGTATGGTCAGAGAAAATGCAGTATTGTGCTTCTGTGTAGCAACCTGACAGCAAGCGCATTGGCAGGGCAATAAAAAGAAAAGGAATGCAGTCACTGTCCTTGCTGGTTTCAAATAACTGGCACTTAGATTTGGATGCAGAGATTTCTCTCAGTATTCCTGTCATTATTTGGTTTGTGATGTCTCTCGGTGTAAAGCAAGGCTTACCTGACATATGCTTCAATGCTTACAGGATCATCTCAGTTACTTCTTTAAATAGCATTAACCTGATGGTATCCCTTGGAGAGAAGAAGATAGGAATAGCCTCCAAGTCTAGGCTGGAGCAGGCTGTGAAGCTTGCTGATTATCAGACATAAATACGAGTATAACTATAAATACATTTGTTTTTCAGCGTGCCCTTATCCAGGTCAGCCAGTGGGGAACTGAAGTATCATGGAGGAGAGGAGCTTCAGAAGAGGGTCATTAGGAAGTCAGGTAATGGCAGCTTTAAAGTTTTGCATTTAAACAAGAAAGTGGAAGTGAACTTGATCCGCCTCCCTGTGAGAAGCCAGCAGGGTCCCTTGGCCTGCACTGGGAGCTGAATGGTACCAGCCCTGGTCGTAACTGGGAGAACCTTCACAGTGATTAACTGTCTCTTTCCCAGCCCTATGTGCTGATGCAGAAGCACCAAGAGAAGTGGAGTTGCTCTGTTTGCCTGGTGCAGGATGTTTAATTCCAGATATTGGCCCGAGAGCCCCCTCAGCGATCCCCCAAGGGGTGGAGCCCAGCCATTTCGGAGCCCAGCCATTTCGGTCATGCAAGTGTATTGAAGGGACCTCAGGTTTATCTTTGTAGAAGCCCATCTGCAATTTGGCCTCTCTGCTGACACCCCTAAGCCACTTCGTTGAGCAAAGCTGCACTTGGCTTTGCAGCAAATGTTCTAGCTAAGTAGGTGATGACCTGCTGTGGTTGAAGCATCTAACAGTCATCCAGAGCAGGGTTAGGCAGGACAAGGGCACAACTCCAGTCTGTTCTTATGTGCTGTCACAGTTCTGCTCTGCTCCCTGGGCTACAGAGGGGGCTGCTCTGCAGAACTGGCCCCTTGTGCTCTGTTCTAGACCACTGAAGAGAGGAGCAAGGAACAACTGCAAAGCAACCAGAGCAGCTCTGGTGTGGTGCCGCAGAGCATCAGAGGGGCAGAAAAGGAAGTGGCAGAGCTAAATGTGCAGAAGCATTTGAGATGGAAGGTTGGAGGGCTCGTGCCTTTCTTTGCAGGGTAGCAGCAAGGTATTTAGCAGGAGGCTTAACTAGTGCAGGGAGGAGCTAGGCATCAGCCTGAACATCTCAGCTGAGGATACCAGTAGCTGAGATGGTGCATGCCAGTTCCCTTCCACTCCTGGTAACCCTCTTGTGCCAGGTTCCCCTGTTATTCTCTGGAGGTGGGTTTGTGCAATAAGTATTTTGGGGTGAGGTAAAGTGTATGCTGGTTTCTCATCACAATGCACCCTGGTCTGAATAGCACCCATAGTTCGAGAAGGATACAAAATAGTGTTTCCCCTTTTTTGAAATCCCCCACTAAAAAACACACAAACCAAAGCTCTGGGGAAAAAAAAAAAAAACAAAACACAAACAAACCCAAAACTAACTACAACTCATCACGCATCTTGTCCCCTTTGGGCCTCACAAGCCTGCCGATGAAGAGAATGGAGTTGGTTTTACTGTCCTTAATCATGAAGATGAAGGGGTGGTCAGCATAGAAGAGCTTGGGGTTCCTCATCTCCTCTCGGCCATAGATGTCAGCATCGTAGGGATTCCCTTCCGTGTCCCATTCAAGAGCAGCAGCATGGAAGACATTGGAGAGGTAAAGGTCTTTCTTGCCAGAGATCTTTGACAAGTCAGCCTTGCTTTTGTCAATGGCTTCTGTCAGGCCCAGATCAGCCAAGTGTTTCTAGGAGGAGAAAAGAGGTCAGCAACCCTCCCAGAGCTGACATGGTGCAACCCTTTCCCGACTAGCTGCTGGAAAAGGGATGACAGGGACATATAACCCCATCATCCTGCTATCTTCTCCGCCACCCCAAAGAACTTGGAGGCCCAACTGTTTTCTTTAAGGACTTCCTTTACCTGAAGGTCGTGGCTGACTTCCAGGATGACTTTGGGCAGTGAGATGGCCACTGATCTCTTCTTCATCTTGCCAGCCCAGGCCTTCAGCTGCTCTCTGTTCAGCAGTTTCTCAACCCTCTCCAGAGGCTCCACATGGTTTGGCATGATAAAGATCATGCTGGAGAGCTTGTGAGCAAGTGGCATCTCTACCACCTGGAGCTTCTCTGTCTCATCATCATAGTAATTGTAGAGACCTTGAAATCAGAAGCAGGAAAGGGTGAGATGTGGAACAGAGGCAAAGTTACCCACAACCTTATGAATTCACCCTGGCCTTTCCGTGACCAGCAAGGGAAGCGAGTGAACAGTTTTGGGAACTGGCCCAGCATTATTTGAGTTGGCAACAACTCAAATCTGCAGCTCCTACGCGTGATGAGCTTGGATTTATTCCTGACAGCCAAGCACCCAACAGTAAATGTAGATTTTCTGTGCTCCCAGAGAGACTGAATCAGCAGAACAAGCGTGCCCTGCTTTGTTCTCTTTCACTGACCATGAAGCAAAACAATCTTGGAAGCAGCTGGTGGACAACTGGGTAACAAAGCAGCAGTGAGCGTAACTCCAGTTGGTTTTGACATGGGGCAGGAGGTTTGCAACTTACCTGTGCGATGCATCATAGGAACTCCCACAGTGTAGGAACGGGTCACCATGAAGCCACGGTTGTCTACCATCTTATGATGGAACTTTTCATCCCAGTGAGCTGCAGGAGAGAGGAATTCAGCTTGTAAGAAAAGGGAATGGGTTGGTAATTTCATGTACAGTTCCTCACTACTCTGAAAAAGAGCATGCCTCCAGTGGACCTAGGACTTGTTCACCTTCCTATTTGGGCTGCTCTGTCTCGGCTCAGGCTAGGTTTTGGGTCACTCATATCAAGAATTGAAGGTAGAACTTACGCTTGAAGAACATGGCATTGACAATGAGGGCCCCATCAGTTTTCTCAACATCTTTCGTGACCTCTGGGAGTTTCCCATCTGTGGTCTGGGCTGCCCACTCGTTAATGGATTTCAGGGCGCTCCTCTTGTCTCTGAAGTTAATCTTCGAGTGCTCGTAGTTGTAGTGTTTCTTGCTGTTCTTCACAAAGTCATCGGCGAAGTTGATGGAAGCAGGGCCGTACAAGCGGTTGCCGATCTTCCAGGTGACGTTGCGGGCTGTGCTGTTGCTGACCTCATTCAGGAGCTCGGATAACCCACTGTGCACATAGTCGTCGTTCAGTTTGTCTGCGCTGAGCACCGCCTTGGCTTGGGAGGCTGTTGTGGCCTTACCCCCAAGGGACACGAGGCCGAGGGAAGAGGCCACGACCACGGGGGACAGCAGGATGTTCTCCATGTTCTTGTCTTTCGCCATGGCATGGTAGAGGTTGAAGGCCAGTGTCGTGCTGCGGTCAGCCAGCGTCGTCGCCTTGTCGCTCAGCTTCCTGTCCTCCGAGGGCACGGCTGCAGTGAGGCCGCAGAGAGCAAGCACTGGAATAACCCACATGGCTTCAGCAGCACCCAACATCTCTGAGGACCTGCTGGGCAAGAAGAGCTCACCGTCAGCATGATTCCAGCCCTCCCTGGAGCATTCAGAGACCCCAGGGGCTCTTCCAGTGAAACCCACTCCTGGGCTCCGGTGACAGCCAAAGCATCTGCATCAACGCTTCACTTGGGCTGCAGCGATACCAAGTCCACTGTGGGCTTTCCGCTGAGCAACAGTTAATCTTCAAGAGTTCAGGCTGCACTCTGACATGCAGACCCTGTGCATTTTGAATGAAAGCTCCCTTTTTAAGCAATTTTACTATATTACTCTACGTTCATGTACAGTAAATGACTTGAGGGGAAGCAACAGATATTTCTGTCTCCAGAGTAACCGGTAAAACCTCTGTCCTGGTCAGGAAAAACTAAAAGATGTTTCTGCTACCCAGAGGCCAGGTTGCACAGTGCTGTCTGTCAGTCCAGGGACTATTGTGGCCAGTGTACAGAAGGGATTGTCCTCTCTGGGGACCCCAGATCGGTACCCAAATGCTCACTCAGCTTTCTAGACACTAGATGGAGCGCATGAGCTTCCACCAAGCTAAGCTGGGGGGGGGGGGGGAGGGCCTGAGAAGATCCAACACTGGTCGGCTCTGATTTAGTTTTCCCTGTACAGCCCTGTCAGGGAGGTCCCAGGGCAGAGGAAGGTGGTGGACCCCTTCTTTTCCCCTGCAGAGCCTCTTCCCAACACGTTCATGCATTAGGGAGATGCATCTCATCATAACGTAGGTGCACCCATCTCCAGTGAGGGCTCTGACCTACTGGCTTCAATAAATCTGCAGACTGACCAGTCCTAAAGGCTGTGCCTAAAAAGCTTTTTGGAGCTCAACTCACCTGCCTCTGAGGCTACAACCTCTCCTCAGACCTTCCCTCCCTCCTGACTTCACCCTGCTCACTGCAAACCTTCCTGATGGCAGATCCTCAGGGCTTAAATTCCACCTTCTCGCCCAAAGCCAGCACTGCATCATGCCCAAGGCTACAGGGAAGTTTCATTCCTCGGTCCTCTCCTCCCACCCTGCTCCTGGCCAGCCTGAGAGGCTGCTCCTTGCATGCAGAGATGAGAAAGGGCTGCGACAGGGCAGCTTCAGGGTTAAAGCGAACAGAGCAGGAAGCGAAGGGCCGGCTGGGATTACATATGGAAGGAAACACGCACATAGCCCGAAGCAAAGAGAGTGCGCAGTTGCACCAGGGACCCTTTGCCAGAGTGGGAATCACTTAGCCTCAGAGAGGGAGGCAATTTGTAACCTAAAATCCTTTTGGGAGGAAGCCTTCCTTGGAAGGGAAGAGCCATCCCAGCTACCTCAGAGCAAAGACTTGTGCAACAAGCTCAAAACTGCCTTTGACGCACTTTTAACGTGCAGACAGCATTGGGTGTGGCAAGCGTTTAAAATTGGAGGGTTGGTTTGTTTTTTTTAATTCCCTTTTATTTCTAAAGATACCTTGAAACTGTTTCATAGTGAGGTCAACGTTTGCTTTTTTCATTCTGAAAGAAAACAGATACAAGGAGTAGTTCTCTTGTGAGCAACAGGGTGCCCACACCGCTTACATCCTCAGCTTAAAAAAGGTTCATTATTTCAGAGACTGGTGAGAATTCTGGCCGGGCGCGTTGGGCTGCAATGAGTGATGCAACCCATAGCAGCGAGACAACGAAATTTTGCCCATCCTTGGATTATGGCTGAGATTCTTGGTGAATTCATAAGCCGGGGTGAAGCTAGAGGGGATGTGGGGGGAATGCGCAGCTGGTAACATCCTCTCTTGTGTTTGTACGGCCCAGCCCTGCAAAGGGGACGCCCCACGCCAACGTGGCATCCTGCAGACCTCCTTAGGGCTGGCAGGGACCCTCTCTCCCGGCTGGATTTGGAGGTGCCACCACCCCACCACAGCCCACGCACCCTTTTGAGGACTGCGTTTCTCCCACCACCCAAGACAAAGCCGCAGGACACACAAGCAAAAGGCCGTGCCCGTGTCAGCAGAGGGATGTGAGGTTTTGTTAATTAAGGGAGGAGAGGGGGAGAGGGTTAGTGAGTCTGGTGGCCGGGAGGCTGCGGGGAGAGCTCTATCCCCTGCGCTGAGCTGGTGCCCAGGGTCCCGGAGGCTCCCAGGCTGGGCAGGAGCTGGGGCTGGGGGGCGTTTCTCCAGCCAGGGCTGCTCCGGGACCACTTAGAGCAAGTTGGTGCTTCCCTTCTCCACACCCCCCCCTCCAACTCCTTCTCCGCTCCCCCCCGAAAGTTTTTCCCGGGTGCAAAACCAGGGTGCAGCTTCGCTTGCAACCACCTCTAGCAAACTGGTGGTGGGAATCTTTTAACGGCTCTTCTCAAAAAACAAAGCTAGCTTGTGGGGCAGTCTGTACCCTACCCACATCCCCCACTCCAATCCACCCCCATGCACCCCCCTTCCCTTAGGCACCCCCCCTCCCCCCATGCAATTCCCGTTCCCCCATTCACCCCTTTCCCCCCATGCAATACCCCCCACACACACCCCCACGACTTCCCTACTTTATGGGGCCACCCAGGAGCATGCAGGACCCCAAAATAACCCCCGGCCTGCTGCAATCTCAGCTTGGCCACATCCCTGCCTGGCAACGGTCCTGCAAGCCCGGGCCCCCCCTTTTCCGCCTCCCTTTCCCCCCCCCCCCCCTTACCTTCAGCGGTCCTTTGCTCGGCTCCCCTATGCACCTCGCGGGCCTGCGGAGGGGGTATATAAGGGGCCGGGGAGAAACTTCTGGAAAGTTGGGAAAAAACCTCTCAAAAACGCTTGGGGTGGGAGAGGAAGGGGAGGATCCGATAAAGCTCTCCCGGCCTCCCGCCAATGGCAGGGAGCGCCCGGCCCTGCTGCTGCTGCAAGGGGGGGCCCGGCGGGGCTGGGGGGGACGCCTGGTCCCTCCTTCTGCCGGCAAGGCCTGGCAGCAGCAGGGGGAGGGGAGGCTCTTCCAAGCCAAATCGGTGCTTTGGCATTTTTTTTTATGAGGCTCCAGCCCATCTTCTTTCCCCCCACCCACCCCCACCCCCCGCGCTGCCGTCTTGAGGATTGATAGCATGTGAGGTGGGTGATTTTTTTTTTTTTTTTTTTTTTTTTTTTTTTTTTTTTTTTTCTGGGGTGTCATCCTCCACGAAGTCAACAGAGATGTTGCAAAGGGCTTCAGCCACGACCAGAGCAGTCTCAGGCAGAGAATGTTTGACATCTGCACCTAGTTCAAGCCACATCATGCCGTCTGAAGTTGCACCCCCTCCCCATTCCATGGTACCCAAGAGGACCCACATTTGCTTTGCAGTGACCTGGTGGCCAAGTCACAGGCGGCTGGAGAGCATCCTTATATTATCATATAATCACAGAACAAATTGGGTGTGAAGGTAATTTAAGGATCACCCAGCCCCACCCCCTGCCCCGGGCAGGGCCCCCTTCCCCCAGCCCAGGGTGCTCCCAGCCCCGTCCAACCTGCCCTTGAACCCTTCCAGGGAGGGGGCAGCCACAGCTGCTCTGGGCACCCTGGGCCAGCGCCTCACCCCCTGCACAGGGAACAATTTCTGCCTTAGATCTCACCTAAATCTGCCCTCTCTCAGTTTAAACCCATCACCCCTCATCCTACCCCCAACCCCTGACCCAGAGTCCCTCCCCACCTTTCCTGTCCCCCCTTTAAGCCCTGGGAGGCCGCTTCTCTGGGCTGAACCCCCCCAACTCTCTCAGCCTGGCCTCACAGGGGAGGACAGAAGTTACTCTATCCCAGAGACTGGTTTTCCATCCATCTCCCCACCTGTACTAACACCTTGTCTTTTTCCCTGGCTTCTGGAGTGATGAACTTCTTACCCATCACATCTTCCACACGTCCAAATCTCCCCCTGCACCGTAGGTGTGAGATGAGCAGGTCGGTGGGGATCTGTTCTTCACAGTGGCATAACAGCGTGGCAAAATCCTCAGGTCTCACAAACACAGGCAGTTTAGAAAGGCGTTACAGCAACAAATATTCGCAGCCACAAAATAATGTTGAAGGAGTTAAATGCTCATGCTGCCCAGTGCCAGACTGCCTGGCTGAGAGCGCTTGCAGCAAAGTATGTGCCATAGAGAAGTTTCTGCACTGAGTCACGAGTATTGAGCACCACTCCGTTTCAACCCTGTCATATTTTAAGCCATCATGGGATATTTTAATGGCAATCTGACATGTAGTGTTATACTAGGTGCCACCCAGTAATTAAGGACCATCCTCACTGATTGCTGCCACAGTAGCAGAAGGATGCTACATCATTGTGTTGTTTAACTGATGTCTATCTCTTCCCTTGCTTCTAATCACCATGTAATTTCATTTCCCCCCCTCCTTGTTTTGCCTCTGCAAGTGTCTCCGCTTCCCTCAGAAGACAGGGGTCTCAGCAGGTTGCTACCTCTTATTGCTATAGTAGAAAACAGCATCTGATCTTGTCTTCTGGCTTTGAATATTCTGCCCTCAGAACCTGGGTTGTTGTCTTGCAAGCACCTTGCATTGGGATCATCTCATCTTTCCACTGTCCATTCCTCTGCACATCATTCCACTAATTCTAGAAGATGGCATCAGAAAGTGATGTTTTTCTTCTGTCTAAACAGTTCAGATGATGCCATGTGAGTAGGTACTCCACACCTGAAACAAGGGGAGGGCTTTGAGCCCTCTGCGCACAAAATTTTCCACCAATGGCAATAACCCAGCTCCCCAGAACTCTAAAAACACACCAAAACCCGTGTATCTATAATGATTTCGCTCACACCACAGTTTGCAGCAACAAGACCTTGATAACAGCGGTAGCAGATAACAGGAAGTTTGTTCTGGCCACTGGGTGTTTGCTTCTGTGAGAAAGATTGACCTGTTCAGCCATTCCCAATCTTTATTTTTTTAATATTATGTATTAAGGCTGAATTGATCCATGCGATGTTATTTGCACAAAAGCTGTTACAGGGGAAAAGTGCCACGAGGTCTCACTCACTGGGCGATATTTTGGGTGCCAAGCATGAAGTCGCTTCAGATGCCTGAAGGCTCCTGGCTTTGTGTGATTTTTAAAATTTTTTTCTTCCTTCTTTTTCAGTGGGGTGTGTGGACAAAGAAATACCCGAACAAAACATGTTTCTAGCTGACATCTTCCCTGGGCATTTTGCATCCTAGCAGGTAGCTTATGCTGCAGTCTTTAATGATAATGTGCCTAAATGGTCCTAATGGCTTCACAACATGATGTTCCGAGATCAGCTTCCTTCTGGGAGAGATTCAGTGGGAGAGGGAGGTTTGAAGTACCTTGAGCATCATATTTTCATGTACCCTAGTGTATATTTTGAGCAGTTTTCTTGGCTTTGTGTCTGCATAAATGATCAGAATGTGGCCCCAGGGTTTTTATACCACAGTCTTTGATTTTTTACTACACTGCCATAGTAATAAATTCATTCACAAAATGAATTTGCTCATAGCAAACAATCAGTACACAGGTGAGATGCTACTGGCCTGTACCAGCAGCATGTACCAGCTGAGAAATGAGAAAAGCTCTTTTAAAAGCTCCTTTCACTGTCAGCTGGTTTTCTCTGCCATGCTCCAAACTGCTCCACCTTCAAACCCTTTTGTGTAATTACTTCCCATGTAAGATTTTTTTTTTCTCCCTAGTGAAATTTAAACTCTAAAACTTTTAATCTTGATATCTTTCAATGCCTCCTAGCACCCTACTCCTCTGATAGAAGTGCAGGGCTCTGTGCTTCAGTCCTGTTAAATGGCTTTGCCTCAATAATGGGAATTTGGAGTTGAGTAAAAGTAGTTCTTTGTGTTTGAGGACAGGCAGCCCAGCATAAAGACATTTCAATTTTTTTTTTCAAATTTGCCTGGTTTTTGAGTGTATATTCCAACCTATTCCTGCTATTCTTAACTACCCTATAATACTAATTCATCCCCCCAGGCAACACAATCCTGAGTGCATTGCTGTAAGACAGCCATAGTAATTCTGCAGGGTTTTAGGATATGAATGTGCAGAAATTGAGTAAATTCTACCCAAATGTCAGCGAACAGCTTAATCTTGATGGCAAACGTTTTTTCCTAGGGCAGAAGTGCTAGGAATCGGGCTGATCTGCATTTCAGGGGGAGATTTCTGTTGCCATCGAGTGATTTCCAAGTGCAATTGGACTTTGCAGGGGCTTTGGCCAGCGCTCCCTGCCCCCACAGTGCCACGTAGGAGATCCTACAGCAGTGGGATGGGAGGAGAGGGCTGGGAAGGGGGAGCGATACTGGGAGTTGCCTTCTTCCGTCTTCTCTGCTCCTTTAATGAGAGGGCCCAGCTGCCAAAAGACACATCCACTTCTCCAGCACAACTCCTCCCCTCCAGCCGCCCGGCTTTAAAACGCTCTTGCGCATTAGGGCAAAACTTGCATTTCTTTGGTTGTGAGTTATTTCAAGTGTGGTTGTGCTCCCTGGGGAGTCTTTGGATTTAGGGGGCTGCAGATCTACTGGGCTAAGACATACTTCAGTTAAAAAAAAAAACAACCAACATACAGTTTGTGGTACAGGTCTGATTCTACACACCCTGACAAACCAGAGGGAGTTTTGCAGCCTGTTGTGGCAGCGCCTGGGCTGGGTGTGGGGAAGCTGCTGGGGTGGTGGACAGTGAAATCTGGCTGGTACTGGGAGTCCTACACCCAGCTCTGTGGCAAACAACCCATGCCCAGCTGTAAAACATCTGGACTGATGCTGTCGTGGTCATTTGGCTTGTCTTATTTAAAGCAGTGTTACCAATTCACTTGATTATATATTAAAGGAGTGCTTTATTTGTACAAAAACAAACACTGCAGTCTAACAGGCTCTTTGGACAGAACTTTTTAAATATAAACTCCAGCAGCTTTGCACATTCACCCTTTCCTGTAGGCTACAGTGACCCAGGAGACTGACCCTTGTTTTCTTGTGTCAGTGACAGTCTGTCATTTTCTAAGCTGCCATGAAGCAGTGCTGGTGCAGGATTTCTGCTTTCCAGGATCAAGCATGCTCTGTAGCAAGGATAGCAGTCAAGGCAATGTGTAGAGCAGAGATACTTAGTCCCTTCCTGTAACTCTCAGCTTTAATGGGGCGGAGGAATAAAGCTGGTCACCACATCCCACAGTTAAGAGCATGGAACTATGTAGAAGCTAGCAGGAGGTCATTTTAAAACAGATCCCAGGCAGTCCTTTTTCATGCAGTTGCATCTGCGAGAGGCAGTTGGGGTCTAATCTAAAAGGATGAGACAAATTAGACTAATTAGCTCCATAAGTAGATATTGATGGGGATGTATGCTGAACATCCCTAATCCAGCAGGTGCTGGGGTGGCACAAGTGCAGTGGACCACAGGCAAGCTGGAACCAGTTGCTTGCCCTAAAGGTTCTTGCCTCTTCCACAGTCACTGGTGGAGCAGAGCTAGATGAACCACGCTGGTTTAGTAGGACATTTTGTGTGCCCTTATGAGCCTTACCTCCCCTTCTGGGTAGCTCAGTTACCTCTGGGGGTTCTCTGTGCTGCAGGTGAGGAAGGCAGGGGTGCTCAGAGCCAGCATGGGTCTGACACTGAAAAGCAGCTGAGAAGCCATCCTGGTGCTGAACATCTCTTGGAGGGAGAACAGCACATGGCAGGGTTAGGTCTTGGAGGATTAAAACCCATGAGACCTGCAGAGATCACAGTAGGGGCAGCAAAGGTGATGCTGATCCTCTTTGCAGCCTCCACCTTGAATGCATCTAGTCTTCCTGCAGAGGATGCAACGTGCCTGGGAGGCTCCCTGATACAGTCAGATTCCCAAATTTGCATGTCCCCATTGTGCCCTCCATCCTAGTGACAGTGTTCTCTTACCTGCCTGCAAGGGTGAGATGAAGGCAGCACTGATGTGAATGCTCCACTGCCTCTGCACTGCTTCTTGCTTCTTCTGCCTGCATCTGCTGGGCATTGTTTTCTGACCTGATGAGCAAGAATGGACAGAGAAGCTGAACCAGCCTTAAAGAAACCCTCCCTAGGTCAGCTCAAACCTCAAATCAATTCAACCCTCTGCAGACCATTCCTCAGAGCTTGCCAGGGCAGCCCTGGGAGCAGTGTTATCACTGATCTATCTGGGATTGCTGAGGAACTTGATGTGTTTCAGTTTCATCAGCCAAATCTCTCCCCAAACCAGAGCAAATGGGTCTGGACGGATCCTGAAAACAGCTGCAGCTGATGGAGGGATCCAGCCTGAGCTCATCTCCCAGAGCCACGCGAGGAGCCCTGAGGGAGCTGGGGAAGGTGGCAGCCAACATGACTCCAATCTCAGGTGAGTTCCCAGTAGCACTCAAACACCATGGCCTCACATCTAGGCAAATCAGGCATGTGGTGGGTGAGGGGTTTCCCATCCAGAGCTAGTCAGAGCTCCCCTGGTTCTCTGGGTACCCACATGCAAAGGCTTTAGGGGGATTCTGCTTCTCTGCTCAGCTCAAAGGCAAGTTCAGGATTGGTGCTTTAATTTTCCCCTTGCAGCACCTTCCTTTGATGCTCTGAACTCATTCATGCAGCTCAAGGCATCATGGAGTGATGGCTTTGCCGGCAGCGATGTCTCAGACTCGGGCAGCCCTTTTCCCCCTCTCTGGCTTGCAGTCGTGCCTGGGTCCCAGCTTGGCTGGAGCTGGAAGGGACCAGCTTTGTCTGAACAGACAGCACACAAAGGATGGCAGTGAAGCTGAAAGGCTGAGTGTCCCGTGGATCTGTGCCCTGGCCTGTCTGGTCTGCAGCAGTGATGAGCCAAACTCATCTCTGCTGGCCCACTGTGCCCAGAGCTGAGGATGCTCTGGCTTTCTGGGAAGTCACAGGGTGGGTTTATATGCCATAAAGGTATAAATTCAGCTGATGGATGCATGCATCCTCTGCAAAGCACTGGTCAGCTTTTGCTTCTTCAGAAGATGTGATGGAGGAGAAAAAGCAAGAGGGAAAAACCTGATTATCCTGGAAGGGGGCGAATTCCCCATCCATGGCATCACACAGGTATGCTGTGATGCACAAACAAGGAAGGACAGGCCAGCGAGGCTGCAGCTGCAGCTTTCCCACAGGGCATAGAGGAGTGAGACTCCCTTGATCCCAGTTTGTAATCGCTGTTTAATACTCCCAGAGAAAAGTTCAAAATCCACAGGGTCTCCTGCCAACATGTTGAGGCAGGGAGGGGGGGAAATTTCTCTGGTGCTTTCGGGTGGAAAGAATGACATCTGCGCGGCCTCGGCCTCGGTCCAGCACGGGTGACAGCAGGTCGGATTGCAAACCCCTGCATCCTGTACCTTCCCAGGAGCTGGGCTGTGGGAGGAGGAGATGAGCTCCTTGCGGATGTTTGGATAGAGTTTGCCATCCCTGGGCAGCAGACTGGGAGGACCCACGTGCCCGCTGGGTCCCATGCTCATTCTACACTGATGTAAGAGCTCTCTGGTTTGGGGTTGTGGCAAAGCAATAGAGCTCTGGGGTACCCCTTTCCAGGCTGGCTGGCTGAGCTGCCTTGGACTGCATCTCCTCACTCCTTCCCTTCTGTCTCGCAGTGACTGGGACCATCTGGATCCACCCTAAAGTTAACTGAAAGAAAAAGAAAGTGGTTAGTTTTTCAGCCACGTCAGCCCCACGAGCGCCAGGGCCATCTCAAGGGCAGGCTGCGGGAGCAGGGTCAGACCAGTGATTTGGGAATGCTGTAGCTTCAATTTCCCCACTGTGAGGAGCCTGAGGCAGGCGGCAAAGAACGTGCCATTTCCAATTTTTGACCCTTTATTACAAAATACGAGCAGAGAAGGCCCAGGAATGGGGAGGTCGGTCTGCTCAGAGCCATGCACGGAGTGGGAATCTCTGATGTCTCGTTAAAAGCTGAGTTCCCACCTGCTGTGACATGAAAGCTCTTCCTCATCTCTTTCTGGCTGCCTGTTTTCGAGAAGCATATGGAATTTAAAAGGTTTGAGCTCTCTGCCTCTCCTTTAAATTTGGCTGAAGCTGTCAGGAAGCTGAGAGGAGACGCAGACCCGCGTGCCCCCCCCGCAGCGCAGCAACGTTTCAGGCCTCTTCTAAGGAAACAAGATGTAAAAGGAAACCATTTATTCTGGAGCCAGCTAAGGGAACAGAAACGCCCCTAAAGCCGACCCTTGCTTGGAGAGAGATCCTCCGCCAGCCAATCTTTTGCTTCCAGCACAGAGTTACACTGGGGCAGGCAGCGGGGCGGGCTCAGCGTCTGCACGCGTGTGCACGCATGTGCATACCGGCTTGTGTGTAGGCACACAAGTTACACAACGGCCTGTCTCCCCAACCTGGCTGGTGGCTTGGTTGTTGGAAATACAGTCCCCCACAAGCCGAGCTGCAAAATTCTGGTGATGCTGATGGGATGGCAGGGGGCACTGAATGCAGGACGGAGCTGGGACTGGTGTTTTTGCTGCGTTGTGGACTTCAGGGTGCTCGATGCAGCTGTTTTAAGGCAGGAAAGGAGGAGGGGAGAGATGAATCCAAGGAAAGACATGCTGGGCTCAGCACCTCCCCTGCTCCAGGCAGTGGTCCAGCAGGAGCAAACGGCATATCCATTTCTCATCGCCCACGTGCTGCAGATATGTAAGCAAAGGGATGCTTAGGAAGGGGCTTGTCAGCCTCATCATCTTTTCCACACTCACAGAGGCAACAGAAAAGCTGCCCAGTGATACAATAGGAGAAGGGGCTTCCTCCTTCCCAGGGTCCAGGCATCACAGGTTTTAGGTTGCCCCACTCCTGGTGACCTTGTTACGTGGATCTGGTGGGACCAAACCACTTTATGTCTAGATCAGAGTTGCTGCATCTTTGTTTGGGATGCCACAGTGCACCCTCCCAGGAGGCAAATGTCACACCGCTCGGGTCCCTCCAGGTTGGGTCAGGGAGCAAAACCCTCGTGACAATTTAGGATGTATCTACAAAAGGCCAAGACCAGTTTCCAAAGCAAGGGGACCAGATAATAGAGGATTGAGCATGCACTGATAAGAACAGAGATAAAGTGTTTGAGGTTTTCTTTGCTCTCTGTGTGACAAGAGTGGTTGAGCTCAGGCAAGAGTTACCCAGTCGAACTAATGTGGCCTTTCCAAGCTCTTTAGTGCTTTTTGGAACTTTAATGCCACTTTGGATGTCATTTTGCAGTGCATGATAGATATGTAGTGTCACATGTAATGTTTAATACATTAAACCATGTATTTCTCTCTGTCTGAAGTTTCCTATATCCCAGAATTCTGCTTCTGCATGCAGGACCCTTAGCAAAAAGGGATGCCTTTCGTATGTCCTCATGCATCAAAAACCACATACTATGCTTAACCTAAATACTCCTGCCTGTTTAAAATATGCCAGCAGGGAATTGCAGTGTGTATTTCCTAGCTACTGTATAGCTTTTCAGTGAAAACTTGGCAGGAAAAAGGTGGCGGGCAGGATTTCTGGAAAATTCAAGGAGCCCACATGATGCAACCCTGATGCATTCTTGCAGAGCGATGTCTGCTAGTGTAATCTTGGGAAGGGGCTGCTGGCATTTTGCTCTGGATGTCAACAAGCTGCATCCACACATTAAAGACTTTTCCAGGGTCAAATCTCTGTCCTGCCAGAGCTCTGGGGTTGGTGCTTCTGGTATTGCAGAGCCACGGTCGTGCATCAGGGAGAATTATGTTAATTTTAGAAGTGAAAGCCACTGTTAGATTTCCATTTTCCTTCTTTTATAACTTGCAGGGAGGAAAGTTGTCAATCGTCCAATGAACTTTTCTCTATTTCCCATTTTAGCATTAACCACAGCTGCTGCAGTCTTCACTGAAAGTGCAAAAAAATCCATCCAGCCATTGCAAATGTTTCTTCTTTGCTTCTTTGTCACAAATCACCCTCTGGCCGTTGGACACATCAATTCTTGCAGGGTTTGAGCTGTGCGTGTGGCTGAGTCTTGATACACCTAGCTGGTGTCATGGCCACTGGGAACCTGAAGGCTTTGACAGGTAACTAGAATGGGACTGAAGGGGTGGAAATGCCTTTTGGCTGTTCCTATAGTTAAATTAGCTACTGTGGGCATTGACAGCAGTTTGGCCACTGCAAGTAGATATACTCTGGCCTTTGTCTCTCTCTTACGTCATTGCATAGACCAGAGGTTATATCAATTCATAACAAGCTGATGAAGATGTTGTGATGACCCCTGTGTTAGAATCATAAAATCCCAGACTGGTTTGGGTGGGAAGGGACCTTAAATCCCACCCAGCCCCACCCCCTGCCCCGGGCAGGGACACCTTCCCCCAGCCCAGGGTGCTCCCAGCCTTGTCCAACCTGCCCTTGAACCCTTCCAGGGAGGGGGCAGCCACAGCTGCTCTGGGCACCCTGGGCCAGCGCCTCACCCCCCGCACAGGGAAGAATTTCTTCCTCAGATCTCACCTAAATCTCCCCTCTCTCAGTTTAAAACCGTCACGCCTCGTCCTACCCCCAACCCCTGACCCAGAGTCCCTCCCCACCTTTCCTGTCCCCCCTTTAAGCCCTGGGAGGCCGCTCGAAGGTCTCCCCGGAGCCTTCTCTTCTCCAGGCTGAACCCCCCCAACTCTCTCAGCCCGGCCTCCCAGGGGAGCTGCTCCAGCCCCCCCAGCATCTTCGTGGCCTCCTCTGGCCCCGCTCGAGCAGCTCCGTGTCCTTCTGCTGTTGGGGGCCCCCGAGCTGGCCCCAGCACTGCAGGGGGGTCTCCCCAGAGCGGAGCAGAGGGGGAGAATCCCCTCCCTGGCCCTGCTGCCCCCCCTGCTCTGGCTGCAGCCCAGGGCACGGGTGGGTTCTGGGCTGTGAGCACATGGTGCTGGCTCACGGGCAGTTTTCCCCCCACCAGCCCCACCAAGTCCCTCTCCTTGGGGCTGCTCTGCATCCCCTCCTCGCCCAGCCTGGATTTGTGCTGGGGATTGCCCCGACCCACGGGCAGGACCTTGCCCTTGGCCTTGTTGAACTCCATGAGGTTGACCTGGTCCCACCTCTCCATCTTGTCCAGGTCCCTCTGGGTGGCAGACAAAAGTTGCAAACAGAAATGTTTAATCTAGAAAGACTTTTTTCCTGGTCTTCCCAAATGGGTCTAGAAACTCACAGAAGTATTTAACTGTGGGAATAGTTGGGCACTCAGGAGACATCGGTGGCTGCATTGACGCAGTAAGAATAGCAATTACAGATCCTGGAGCAGGGAAAGCTCTGTAGCTGTTCAATGGGAGATGGCCATGGTGATGTGGGGCTCAGCATCTGTGAGCTGAGTCACACAAGGGAAAATCTGACTCATCGCATAAGATCTGCATCTGCAGATGTCTAAGCGTTTTATGAAGCTGGGCAAGGCTGCTTGTCCTGACTTAAGACTTGGGGAAACTGAGGTACAGAGCGCAAGTCTGGGTCAGAACCAGAGCCGGGCATCCTGCACCACTGGTTTGTGCTGCTTTTTTTCTCCAAGACACTATTTTATAGGGAGTTACAGAGGCATCTTCTCACTCCCTGGACAGATAATCTGCCTGGAGGGCTGGTACGCTGGTACCCCTGGATGTTGAGCTGCTCTTTGCCAGCTGTGCCTAAGCAGGGCAGGGTCTCTGTGATTACCCCAGCTCAATTCTCATCCAGCAGAGATGGATCTCAAGGCAGGCTGCACCATCCTCGCAGCCACAGATCAGCCCTCTGGATCCTTGTCTTCTCTCCCACCTTCTGCTCAGTCTGCCATAAATCCCAGGCAGGAACAGGCTCTTGCTTTGTGTGTTTGTAGCCCCTAGCACCATGGGACCATGCTCCATGACCCTTCTCCAAGGTGGATGCACAAATTTTGCTTTAAGCAAGGAGCTCTCTGTTTCCCACAGTGGGAGAAGATGCATGTCTCTTTGTGCATCCAGCTCCGTGGCTGCCCAAAGGTAGCACCGTTTATGCTCCTGGTCCAACACTCAGCAAATTAAACATTTCTTGCATCGCACCCGGGGTTTGACAGGCTGTTTCTAACACTGGAGGACGCATCGGTGCTGATGAGTTTGGTTTTACACACAGGGTTTCTTGTTCAGCGTGGGGCAGAGGTGGTTGGGCAAGCGTGGGAGAGGTGGGGTAGGAGGATTCGATGAATGGGGACTGTTGTTTCACTTTTGATTACTTTCAGGGGGGATGCTGGATGTTTACCAGCCATGCACAAACGGCTTGGATTCAGTCTTTAAAATCGTTTGCACTTCTGGACTCTGTTGGCTTTGACATCAAGACCTGTATCCCCCTGTGATCACTCCTGGATTGATACTCAGGGGGCTTCTGTGGTTAGATACACGTGAATCAAAGCCTCTTACAGCTGCCTTCCTCCTCTCCTGCAAGGATCTGGCTCAGCCCTATCCAGCCAGAATTTATTTCAAGCTCATTTGCTGCCCGAACATAGAGAAGAAGCAGCAAAGAATGAAAGGCAGCTCCTGAGCTTTGAATAGTTCAGGACGGGAATCAAGGGCTGCACTTTATTTAAAGGGAAACACTCAAATCCTAAATTTCCAAGGCCACAGGTATCTGTTGGATATGGTAATACCCAGCTGTGGTTATTGTTGACTGCAGTTTCCAATGTCAAATCTGTGTGCCGGACATACAAAATCATGGAAAAACTGTAATTTGTACATTGTGCAATTTGTAAACAAGCCAAATTTGCCCCCAGATGGAAACAGTTAGAAGATCTCCAGATCCAAAATCAAGGCCATAAGTGGTTCCTGCCCCTGCAGCCTCCTTTGGTGCAGTGTCTGTGAGCTATAACCCCCTTAACAAGCACTTCCTTCATGGTCCTTTTCTAGGAGAACTCCGTGGTACCTCTTCAGAGACACAGCATTCACATGGGAAGTTGCAGTGGCACGGGAATCTGTTTTGTCAGTGAACACACTCGTGATGAGGAGTTTGCAGAGCAAAACACAGAACGTTTGGTGTCTCCTGTTCATCTTGATTCATGAATACCTTCCGATGCCACATTTCCAGGTTTGATTTCACATTTTTTCAGGAATCCCCCCTGAGCATCATTTTGTCTCCATTTGTTCTTCCTGCTTATTTTTATTTTTCAATTTTTAAAGTTTGGGGTTTTTTTTAACCATTTCCCATTCTCTGTCTGGACATAATGGCAGGAGTTGGAGAAAAGCCATTTCTCCATTCCTTCCATGGAGAGTCTCTGCTTTGAGCATGTGTCTGTGGTGGGACTCCTAGTAAAAACTTCTCGCATAGAGACTAGAGGGGGATAATTGACAGTGAGGGCATGTTGGGCTGTGACTTTCACTTTGGTTAATATATTCAAAGGTCTCAGAATCTTTCAAGCACCTAAATTTAATGAGTGTGTCTCTCCCATGAGATGGGAACCTCATGAGATGAATCTAGGTCTTTCTTTGGACCATGAAGGAAGTCTGAGATCAGGTCTCATTTTAGAGCACACGTAGACCCTCTTTCTAGTCTTCACCTCCAGGCTGGATTATGGTTTTCCCCTGTGATGGTGTGTCTTGGGATATCTGAAGTCTGGGAGCATTGTACACCTGGAGAATTTATATCAGCAGCTATTGGGGAATGAACATCAATTTCCCCATCCTGCTGAGATTCCATGAGCACCTGTGTCACACCAAGCCTGGCGGGATTGCTCACCAAGGGGCTGCCCTATTCCTTCTTCCTTATCCCCATGCCACCTTCATGCTTCTTCACACCCTGTCCTGTTCATGCAAATCCAGGGGTATTCGGCTTGTAAACTGATTTGGTGGTGAATTATTTGGTTGTTGCTGGTGTTAGGAAGTGCAGGCAGATGACTGGGTTGCCTGTATATCTTAACAGCCAGTGGATAGGTCTCAATTTTCCTGTGGCCTCACCATCACACAATCACTCTGGGAAGTGAGCAGCAGAGTCCAGAGCATTTAGAAACTCAGGACAGAAACATCTGGGTTTTCCTCAGTGGAAGAAACTGCTGAGAGTGTTTTTGGGGTATGAAGTTGGTTTTGGTGTCGGGAAAATCTCCTATGTTAGATTCATTTGGTGGTCACTGTAGGGAATTGGGAGGCACTTTACAAAGAAGCAGCTTTGGATCTCAAATGGAGAGAAGGGTAAACATGGATGCAACGGCAAAAAGCTAAAAGAGCATTGCCTGAGAGCTGGTGCTTCATGTTTCCAGTCTACTCTTGCCACCTTGGTGGAAATCTCTTAGCCCAACCTCACTAAACCAAACGGATACGTGCAGCACCCAGGCATCTGGGAAGTCACCAGTGTGGTCACCAAGGTCACAAAATCAGGTCCCCTGGGGCAGGGTCTGTCCCGTCTCTGGGCACGCAGAAAGCTGAACCTATGTGGAGGGTTGCTGGGGGGCTACTCAGTGATCTGGAGGAAGAACCTGATGAATGATGAGCAGCCAGAGGTTGGCAGATATTGGGTGCTGGGTGTGGATGAAGCTGTTTTCTCCTCTCTCCTCTTCAAACCAGGGAGACAGCCCAGCACAGTAAGTTTTAGTGGCCTCAGTGGTGGCGGAAGTATCTGTAGGACATCATGACCTTACACAACTCATGTGGCTTTCAAAACTAAATGTTAGATGTTTCCTACATGCCCATGGTGGGAAGAATTACCTGCTAGAAATGGTGCTTTGTTGATGGTGGAGGAGATGCACAAACCCTTTCCAACGTTACAGGCACAGCTTTGGGAGGAGTTTTTGTCCCAAGGGTCACACCAGGAGATCAAATTCATTGTTTATTTGGGACAAATGAAGTCAGAAAGGGCAATATTTCTAGCCAAAAGAGAAATACACAGCACTCAATTTGAAGGAAACATTGTGTTTCTTTTTTTGTTTCATTATTCTTCTGAACTAAATAAGGGCTTACTGTAGCCTCAAATATAATTTTCAGACAAATAAAACAAATTAAAGACATCAAAACAAACTGCTTAGCTGGTTTCCCCCCATTTTTGTCTTCAGTTTTCAAACCCACCCCTAATTCTGAAATATCTTCAGTCACTGTGACAGCACTTGTCTTGATGAATTAACTGTTTAACAATGATTTTCTCTCTAATTTCAGCTACTAGAATAATTGGATCTGCTGGAGGCAAGTTCCTAGAATGTGGGATGCATAATGGATTCTGTCTGGGCTCTGCCACTGAGTCACCATGTGCCTTTGAATCAAGCAATTCACCGCAGCCTGGAGCTTTCCTGATGGCAGGTTGAGCCACAGCGGTTGCAGGAAGGGCTGTGGTCACCGCGTGGAAGGGCCTAGGAAGGTGGGTCACCAGGCAGCAAAGTGGGGAGACACCCAAAAATCCCTGCAGGAACCATCTTGGGCACCACAGGGCTGATGTAGAGTTGGTGGAAATAAATTCTTGTGGACAGGAGGCTTCAGAGAAGCACTAGACATCATGGCATCATGTTCTCCAGCAGGTCCTGGAGGACCTCATCACCTGGGTTTTCCCATTAGGGGGAAAACCTCAGTGCTCTTGCTTCAGATGAAAAGAAAATGGTGTCTTGGTGTCACTCCTGCCCCTGGGCCAGCATGATCACTGTCCTTGGGGGTGACATCAAAGCAAAAACCTCACCCAGACTTGACTCTTCCCGGGGTTTCTCTTGCCTCTCCCAGCCCCAATCCCACGCCCTGAATCCTGCACTGGGAATACACTTCTGGCTGCCTGTGGACATGACTGACACTTCCCATGCTTCAAAAAGTGCCATAAAACCACAAGAAACAGCACAATCCCTGCACTGCTGTCTCTGAGCTCTGATCCCTGGTGGGGTTGATGTCTACACTTGGGAGAACAATTTTATTTAGGAGGCCTTTCAGGGCTGTAAGTCTCAGCGAAGCACATGGAAAGGGCTGCAGCAATGGATTTAAAAATAGTAGAGATGGAGGAGATGGGCTGGATGAGAATCAGTAGCTAACAGAGATGGGAGCACAGGGATCAAATTAGCGTGCTGCAGGATTAATTTAGAGCCCCTTCCCATGCCGGTGGCGAGACAGCAGCCCTGGGCAGGGCTTTCCCCCGCAGAGACTCCCCCCGTGCCCGTGGCACCGCTGCCTCTGCCCCGGGGGCTTCCCCACCGAGCCGTGTCCAGACACGGCTCCCACCCAGCTCCACCACGTCCCCTCTCCGCGCAGCGCCGGGTCCCAGCTAAACCCACGCAACGTCCCTCCCCGCGGAGCTCGGGGCTGGCAGCACCCTCAGTCTCCCCCCCCGCCCAGGGAAGGGCTCCCCCGACCCCACACCCCCCCCCCCCCGGAGACCTGCTGCTGCCCTGGGCTGGGCTGGGGGGGGGAAACCCACTCGCCCCCGCACCACGTCCCGTCGAACGGTCTCGCTGCTCCCCCCGCTGCCCAGCTCCCGCAGCCTGCCTCTGGCTCTCGCCAGCCTTCCCCTTCCACGGCCCACGCCTCGGCGCGATTGGGACCCCGGCACCGAGGAGGACGGCTCGGGCAGACGCTCTCCACCGCGCAGGGCGTGGGTGCCCCACAGCTGGTGCTGGCACAGGGCGCCCGGGGCTGCGCTGCCTGCAGAGCACGCCGTGCAGCCGCTCGCCGGTGGACACCTCGGAGTCCCCGTCTGCAGGGAAGAGGTGGCTCTCCTCCCTCTCGCTGCGGGGCCAGGGCTCTTCCAGGCCAGCCCTCCCCGGTGCCGGGAGGAGAGCGGGTGGGAGAGCCACCCGCGGCCAGGCAGCAGGCGGGCTCTCCCCCTCCTGGTGCAGGAACCCGAGCTCTGGGGCTCAGGGGTGGGCACCGCTCCCTCCTTGGCCCTGGCGTGCTTCTGCAGAGGGGCCGATACTGCCCCCAGCCATGGCTTTCCGCCTCGGCTCCTCACCCAGGGCTGTCTGCAGATTCCTGAGCAGCTCCTGCTCTGGGACCCCACGGTGTCACCCTCTCTGGGGGGTGAGTCACCGGGGGCGCAGCACGAATCATTCACAGACCCCATCAAGGTCTTACGTGGGCTCCTTCTCCATTATGGGTGCTGTAGCCCAGTCAGTGCAGCACAACCTCTGCTAGGGCCAGGTTGCAGGCTTTCTGCTGGGTTTGTAGGGCCTCGGGAATGTGATTTGCCAGTCTTGCTTTGTCTTAACTTGTCTTGAACTGCCTGAAGCTTAGTTTTTTCCTTGATTTAATTGTAACTGCATCTTTTTCATAACCAAGTGGCTATGACTAATTTGTTTTACTTCTGCTTGTCTTTATCTGGTGTAGCCAACGTTTCATATAGCCATTAGGAGCAAGCAATTTATCTGTGTGGAGTGAAGTATTTATGCCTCTCCTGTACTGGTGCAAGGTGGAAGAACAGAGGCACGACGTGACACTGGAGGTTCTGAGCAGGGGGACGCAGGATGAGAGGGACCACGGGCTGGTGCAGGAGCCCTCAGGGTTCTTTCTGGGGCCAGTGGCACCATAAGGGATGTGTATTTCTGAGCCAAACGCAGTAACAAGGCTGGCTGGGGCCAGGAGGGAAAAAATAAAGCAAAGATGGATGTATGTACCGCTTTGAACAGGGAACGTTTTCTTTTCCTTCTTGATGGGACCATCCCCTCTCCCATCCTGTGCCCACACATCCTTGTCTTGGCTTTCCCCTTTCTAGCTTATTCCTGCAGCTCATGTTGGCTCACTGCTCATTGCATTGGCTCTGCAAATGTTTGCAGGCTCCCAGTGATGGAAGAGAGCTCTCAGCATCCCTGGGGTAGCCAGCCCGGTGGTAAATTATTCCTGGTGGCAGAAACTGCTTGTGGTATCTACATGGTTGTCAGCAGATGATTTTGCTGACGTTGGAGAGGAGCCTGGCAGGAAGAGGAACAGGCGCTGATTTTGCAGGGACCTGGCTTTGCCTGCATGGAGACACCATTCCCATTTAACAGTGTGGGATTGCTGTACTTTCTGTGGATTAATCTCCCAGCTGTGCTTGCTTAGAGCATCCATGAAACTCCCCCATCACTCCCTGATGTGCTGCTCGGTTGGTGCAGCGTGTTGCATAGTTCAGGGGACATTCTGGGGACAACACCTGTTGCTGGCTTTCCCGGGAGGAGGCAGCCAGACCTGTGACTCCCCAGCATGAAGGATGTTAAAGCAAGCTGGGCACTCACCCAGCCTCTGCCTGCTCTGGCAGGGTGACATCACAGGGACAACCATGGCCCTGGGGGGACTGATGCTTCTCCAATGCTACAGGTTTGGGGGGGAAGGAAAACAGGGGGGCTGCCATCCTTCCCCCCAAAAGCGCTGGCCCTGAGCTGATGGGAACTTGAAAGGATATTTTCCCCCAGCCGTGTTAAGTCTTCTGCTCAAATTGTGCCTGAGCTGTGAGCAGGGAGTAATCTTCCTGGCTGTAATACCCCTGGCTAGAATATCAGTTGATTTTTTTAGTAATGGAGTGGATTTCAATGAATTAAGGTTACTTCTGCCCAGCATCTGGCAGAGGGGGACACAGACTTGAGTGATGCCCTGGGGCTCTGCATTCATCTTCTCACCTGGTTCATCCCAGTAAGAAAGACACTCAGACTCTGTAAAGTATTATTTAAAATGTGATTTATTAGAGTTAGCACAAAAAAGAAGGCATTGATAGTACAGATAATCCCATGCCACTTCAGATGCTAGAGGACCCCAAATTGTGCAGCATCGAATGGATGCCTGACCAGCACGCAGCAGACTGGGAGATCCCATATGTCTGTTCAGGATTTATTTTAAAAGCTTTGGTCAGTGCTGCTGTTCTGCTAGAGGGCAGAGAGGGGGAGTCCTTCTCCTTCTCTTGGAAGCACCTGCAGGCTCTTTAGCTTTTGAAGAGGATTCCCCAGACTGCCCAAATCCCAATTGCTGTGAGGACTCTCTGAACCGTTTGTCTCTTTCTCATGCAGGGGGGGAAAGAGAGGCAGGGGGCAGCCGGGATCTGCAGGAGAAAATTGCAGGAAGATCATAGGCCAGGAAGGATTTAGAGCAGCTTTCTCATATAAAACCATAGAATCACAGAAGGGTTTGGGTTGGAAGGGACCTTAAAGATCATCCAGTCACACCCCGCTGCCCCGGGCAGGGACACCTTCCATCAGCCCAGGGTGGTCAAAGCCCTGTCCAACCAGCCTTGAAGGGGAACATAAGTTTTTTCCTCCACCCATCAGCATTAGCAAAACCACAGAGAAATTGTGCTTCGACAAAGGCAACACAACCTGGCCCTAGCAGAGGTTGTGCTGCACTGACTGGGCTACAGCACCCATAATGGAGAAGGAGCCCACGTAAGACCTTGATGGGGTCTGTGAATGATTCGTGCTGCGCCCCCGGTGACTCACCCCCCAGAGAGGGTGACACCGTGGGGTCCCAGAGCAGGAGCTGCTCAGGAATCTGCAGACAGCCCTGGGTGAGGAGCCGAGGCAGAAAGCCATGGCTGGGGGCAGTATCGGCCCCTCTGCAGAAGCACGCCAGGGCCAAGGAGGGAGCGGTGCCCACCCCTGAGCCCCAGAGCTCGGGTTCCTGCACCAGGAGGGGGAGAGCCCGCCTGCTGCCTGGCCGCGGGTGGCTCTCCCACCCGCTCTCCTCCCGGCACCGGGGAGGGCTGGCCTGGAAGAGCCCTGGCCCCGCAGCGAGAGGGAGGAGAGCCACCTCTTCCCTGCAGACGGGGGCTCCGAGGTCTCCACCGGCGAACGGCTGCACGGCGTGCTCTGCAGGCAGCGCAGCCCCGGGCGCCCTGTGCCAGCACCAGCTGTGGGGCACCCACGCCCTGCGCGGTGGAGAGCGTCTGCCCGAGCCGTCCTCCTCGGTGCCGAGGTCCCAATCGCGCCGAGGCGTGGGCCGTGGAAGGGGAAGGCTGGCGAGAGCCAGAGGCAGGCTGCGGGAGCTGGGCAGCGGGGGGAGCAGCGAGACCGTTCGACGGGACGTGGTGCGGGGGCGAGTGGGTTCCCCCCCCCAGCCCAGCCCAGGGCAGCAGCAGGTCTCCGGGGGGGGGTCGGGGGAGCCCTTCCCTGGGCGGGGGGGGAGACTGAGGGTGCTGCCAGCCCCGAGCTCCGCGGGGAGGGACGTTGCGTGGGTTTAGCTGGGACCCGGCGCTGCGCGGAGAGGGGACGTGGTGGAGCTGGGTGGGAGCCGTGTCTGGACACGGCTCGGTGGGGAAGCCCCCGGGGCAGAGGCAGCGGTGCCACGGGCACGGGGGGAGTCTCTGCGGGGGAAAGCCCTGCCCAGGGCTGCTGTCTCGCCACCGGCATGGGAAGGGGCTCTAAATTAATCCTGCAGCACGCTAATTTGATCCCTGTGCTCCCATCTCTGTTAGCTACTGATTCTCATCCAGCCCATCTCCTTTGTCTCTACTATTTTTAACTCTATGCCTAATGCTCTCCTTCTTCCCACCTTGCAGCCCTTTTCTATAAGCTTTACTGGAGGAAGCACCACCACGACCCCCAGCCCACCCCCCCCCCCCCGCCGCAGATCTGAGGGCAGCCCCTGGGTGAGCTCCAGGGCTATTCCTGAAGTCACAGAAACACTTTATGACCTGGTCTTGGAAGCAACGTGGAGCTCAGAGCATTTCTGAGTGATGCAAAGAGAAGAAAAGGCCACATCCCACTGAATACCACGTCACGGGTGGCTCTGGGTATGTGAAATTTAAGCCCTGGTGTCGGGATGATGATATTGGTAGTATCTGCTGTGCACTGCTTTTTCCAGATTCTGATTGTCAGGCCTTTGGGTGGAAAAATCAAGGTCCAGGCATCTTTTGGGTATCCCAACGTGCTTCAAAATCGGTGACTACATTGAGAGGAGGGACATGCTGTCCTCCCTTGCTGTAGCTGGTAGTCACTAGTCCGTGAGGTGCCAGATCTGCTTCTGGGGCACATCCATGTGTCCTCGAAGGATGTGCCAGGGTGCACAGCCCAAGCAAAGCAGCAAGAAATCCATTTAGCAGGGGATGGGAAGGGCTGGCTTCCTACAAGCCACTAGCAACCAGAAAAAAAAAGGGCTGGAGCCAACAGCGGGGGTTTGCAGTGATATGCTTATGGTCTCCCACTCAAATCTGGTCCAAGACTGCAGGCTCACATCAAATGCCAACCAGAAAGGGGGGTTTTGGCTTGTAGGGAAGTGTTTTATTTTCTTTAATTAGTTCGATCTGAACTGGATGGAGACCAAACATCATCTCAATCGCCAGCAAGCCCTGAGCTGTGCAGCGCATGATTGGAGCTGACAGCCTCAGTGTTGTTGGTGCAAATGCCAGCAAAACCTGCCGATCGACCTGAAAAACCCCTACAGATCTGACATGAAACATTTCATGCTCAAGGAATGGACTTTTAAAATGAAACATCAGGAGCAGTTTCTGCTCAGATCCCTTCCTCTCTTGATTTTGCAATTGCTAGTGGTTAGGAAAATCCCTGCAGAGTAACTCAGACCTGCTCTAACAGCCCCCTGCATTGGAATAACCAACTGAAGCAATAAGTTTTACCCTATATATATCCAGGACAGAGCAATTAGAGCCTATCATGATTATTATAGCCTGACTGTGGTGATTTACCAGGCATCTGAGTGCCTATACCCACATCTCTGGGTGCCTCACGCTTGCCTTTCGTAAGGACACGATGCTTCCCGCAGGGATCTGCTGAATTAAGGGAGAATTAAAGGCATATGTTATTCACTGACACAGTTCATCAACAGGCTGGCATCCCAAGGAGCAACAGTTCAGGGTCTCGCCTTTGAGGAAGGATCTGCTTTATCATGGCGTGGCAGCTCGCCCAGGGAAGGCCAACGCTGCACCCTGCCTTGGAGACAGCTGTGATTTATTCCAGAGCTGGATTTCTGCTTCTGTTCAACAGGGTGTGGAGATGTGGGGTTGGAGAGATGAGCCAGGCTGCCTCAAGGAGGCAGGTTTCACCCTTTCAGCATCCCTCCTGTAACCACTCCAACATTGCATCCCCAACCCAACCTGGAAGGCAGGTCCCAGCCCCGCTGGGGATTTGCCTTCCTGAAGAAACCCCAGTGCTTTTCTCCTGCTGCCCAGAGCTCATTGCCCAGCACAGCCCTTCCCCTGTCCTCTGTGCAGAAGACTAATCAGATGCATGTAGGAGTGTTTGATCAGCTCCATTTTGTGCCTTGCTACCCACCCTCCAAACCTCTCTGCAACCACAGTCCGTTTCCCCTGGGGAGTCTTGTTCCACCTCTAAACCCTATGGCCTTTTGCTTGCAAACACTTTATTTCCATCCTCTTGGCTCCCATCTCTGTCCTATAAACGGAAAGGCTTAGACAGACACTGCTGCACATTTAGGGCTGTGTGACCATGAGATTTACTGAAGCAAATCCAGTCAGCTGATATATCCCGGCACACTCATTAAAGGAATTATTTTCCACTGACATTCAATCTATGTCTGCACAGGGCGGGGGGAAAAAAGGGCGAGCTGGTATGTTTTGCATAACGTGAATGAAAAGCACGCCAGGCAGAGTCCCAGGAGATGGGAGCACATCTCTGCCATACCTATATCACTTTCGGCTATACTCTTTATCAGGGTGTTTAGTGATAGGACAAGGGGTGATGGTTTTAAACTGAGAGAGGGCAGATTTAGGTGAGATCTAAGGTAGAAATTCTTCCCTGTGCGGGGGGTGAGGCGCTGGCCCAGGGTGCCCAGAGAAGCTGTGGCTGCCCCCTCCCTGGAAGGGTTCAAGGGCAGGTTGGACGGGGCTGGGAGCACCCTGGGCTGGGGGAAGGGGGCCCTGCCTGGGGCAGGGGGGTGGAAATGGATGGACTTTAAGGTCCTTTCCAACCCAAACCATTCTAGGATTCTCCCTACAGCCTTTTCTTCTGGGTACCATGGATGGGCTGTGCCTACAAAGACCTCTCTTTATTCCCATAGGAAATTCTCTTCTGAGCAGCCAGCATGAGCACTGCAGAGAGAGAGCTTCTCAGAGCAGATCTGAGGCTCAATACCATGATGGAGGGAGGCCCTACCTCATGCTGTGTAATACTTTCTAATGTTTAAACAGCTTTTCCCTCTAGGAAACCAGAGGACTTGTTATACCCTAAAGAGGGTTTGCATGGGATGCGACCAACTCTGGGGTGCAGCGCTGCCCCCAGCACCAGCTGTGATGGTGGGAAGGGATGGCACAAGCCTGGGAGGCCCTGGCAGAGCAGAGGAGGCCATGCCCTTGTCCATCAGGGTTAGGTTCCATCGAGAGCTGGAGTAACACACTTGCCAGTGTGCATGTCCTGTGGTGAGGGATGGACACCAGCCCCGTCAGTTCTGAGCTCATCTGGAGGACATAAGGAGACGGCCAGGGGACTCTGGCTGATCACAGGACGCTTAAGTGTGTGTTGCTGCATGAGCAAAAGCAAATGAGATCCCCAGATGTATCTGGAAGGGTGTTTTCAGCAGATCAGAGAACGGTTGGAGCCGCGGCAGAGACCCTTTGGGATACCTCCTCCTGCACAACCACTTTGCTGGTGGCACAGAGAGACCAGCCTAAATCCTTGGAGACACCAAGCTTCTGCTGTTCCCAGTGGCTGCCAGAGGCTGATCTGCACATCCAGGGAGTCTGACAGAGCAGGAATGTGAGTTCAAGCATCCAACGCCCCATCTAGTGCTCTAAATGCTTCCCTGACCTGTCAGTCCCACACTGTTCCTACAGAGCTCTCTGCTCGTGACGGCTCATCTCCATGTGCCATTCCTGGCAGAGCTGAGCCAAAATTATATCAAAGGCAAATCCAGGCTGCAGAACCCACCCCTGAGCTTCCAAAGCCTCTCAACACCAGACTTTTAACTGGGAATACTTACACAGGCGCACAGAGATTGTGGGTCACTTACCAGGGTGCACTGGAGACCAGACTTCAGCCCTTTGGACCTTGGATGTCATCTCCAGAACCCAGGTGTTCTGCCCATGCTTGTCTTCTGTATTAAATTGCCATTTTTCTGTTAAGTTTGAGAGGGGGATAGAGGAGGATCAAAGCTCTTCATGGTATCGTGGATGTCTCCTCCACCCACAGAGTTCCCCTCTAAAGGTGTCAAGAAAACTCCTGTTTTATGGCAGCTTAACAGGACAGAGAAGTGCAGGCAGCCTGAATTTTTGCTGCTCTGAAATCAAACTCAGCTCCAAGTATGTTTTTGCATCACAGAGATAAAAACACGCCTTTCTGCTTTGCCCCATTGCATTCCTTGGTGTAAGGTATGATGTTTCTTAAGCCAGACTGCTATTACCCCTGGTATATACTCTCAGCTGTGTGTCTTTTTGAAGCAGAGACACGTTCAAGCCCCAAAGGACCTACAGCAAGCTCCAGTGACTAGATTTTCACCTCTGTGATGGATCAAACTGGAGATACAGTTGAGCAAGGCAGAGATTTGAATTTAGTACTGAGATCTGAACTTCCATTCCTGACTGGCTGGCTTCACATGCTAGGCGCTGAATTTAAAGCTCTTCCATAAATTTCACAGTTTACACTAAAAAGAAAGCCCAGTTGGTCATACAACAGATGCATTCTCGGGTTCAGTTCATAGCTGCTTGAGCTCTGTGCTGTTTCAGCCCTCTTTTGATTGCCCCAAGTGGATGTTTTTTTTTGAGGTGAATCTATGCTGTGTTGGCCCACTGTAATCTGCAACCTTAAGCCCTTTAACTTCCCTACATAGTATTTCTAAGGGGGATGGGGAAATAATGAGGCTCTGCTGAAGTTCACTTGGAATGCTTTGTACAGTTCTTGCTGTTTGGATCAAGAAAAATCAACCTGGAGTGAGTGCTGTTGAGCAGTGATGGGTTCTTCAAGACATGGCAGGCTTGGGGAGGGGACATCGAGCTACCACTTGCTGGACACCAGGCAAATAAGATGGTGTTGATGTAAAAAAAAAGGTTAGCATTGTCCTGGGATGCATGTCCTACAAACAGTCTACCTGCAGTTGTATGCCTTGGGGAGCCTTTGGCTGTTGAGCTGTATGGAGCCCGGTGCAGATATCAAAACAGGGAGGGACCAATGAGAGGGTTGGGAAAAAATTATGGGAGAGACTGGCAATCAGGAAAATGAAATTTCTGAGGAAAGATGGATTGAAATGTGATTTTTAGCCAGAAGAAACCAAGTGGAGGCATGAAATGACCTTCAAATACTTAGAAAAAGTTGATATAACAAGGAAAGGAATAAACTTTACCATGCCTGGGGTGCATAGGAGGAAATGTTACAGGCTTAAATCCTACTAATTAAGGTTGAACATTAAGGAAATGTTATAAGGATGAAGAGAGAGGAAGCTGGAGAGTGCTTGCAGTTCCCATCACTGAAGGTCTTAAAGCACATGGTAGATAAACACGTACTGTGGATGGCCCTGCCTGGGGCAAGGGATGTCTCGGTGGCTTTTTGAGGGCTCTGTGATTGCAAGTGAAAATGATTTGTTTAGTCTAGGAAAACAAAGAATGAGGCATCACTGTCCATAAGTATGTGGGGAGTCTGGAGAGGGGAGGGTTAGTAAACACATGGGAGAGAAAAAAAAGTGACATTGAGACTGCTTTGAGATAGTATGGACTAGCCTGGGTGATGGCTAGGCAGGAGGAGGACTCTGAGCATCAGAAAGTCCCATCCATGGCAGCAAGGATCTTCTCTGCCTCCCAAAGTGGGGAACTGAGAAAACCAGACTCGTGCAAGGAGGAGCTCATCAGTCTCTGGGCGACGTTACATGCCCTGGTGCAACTGAGGACTGCACCCAGGTTTCCAAATTCCTATTGAGCCCTTAATGAAGCTCAGTGAAAACGTCTGATGAAACCGAGGCAGGCCTTGAATTTTGTATGGTTTCAACATAGGATTATGGTTGCAACATAGCTCAGGCTTGCTGTGACTGTTGAAGGTGTCTCTTAGTGAGCAGAGCCTTTGAGCATGAATTCAAACACATCCCAACCAGCACAAGCCATGACTGGGGCTGCAAACATCTGGCCCAGCTCAGACAGGACCATCCTGCTGCAGGTGGCTGCTGTGTCCCTGTACGTTTGTGACCTCTCTGCTATTTTGCTACAAATGAGGTTCACATCTGGATTCTTTCCGTCCACCTTCAGCTTCCCAAGATCTCCTTTCAGGTTCTGCACCTTATGCACCCCTTGAGAAACCAAGAACCAAGGCTTGCCCCCAAGGCTACCCTAGACCTACATCAGCACTGTAAGTCATGCAGGGTTGGATTTATTGCTGTTGTGTGGCTGAATTAAGGTCTTGCATCACATTAGCAGCTGCTACAGCATCAGTATTGGCAGCGCCTGCTGCCGGGGGCTGCAGGACCAGGGTGTGCTCTATGGGCACAGAAAGAGGCAAGTTCTTTTCTCGTGGGTTTGCTGCTCGTCTCGAAGGAGCAATGGAGGCAGAGGGTGAGTGACTGCAGCTTACCCAGATGAGAGACGTGGTTATCCCATGAGTCATGGGCTACTTGGCAGTGTGGTCATCCCTGGATGTCTCCTTAGCACGTGGCTGGACATGTTGTCTGTGCACACGCAGCTCATCTGAGCTTGCAAACAGACCTGAGTCTTCCTGGGAGGGCTGAGGTCCTTCACTGTGCCTTGCTCAGCCTTGATGACTATGAAAGCCTTGGCTGCACCTCGGGACCATCACCAGGACAATTTGAACATGGAGTGTCTTGCTCTTGATGTCCAGGCCCCCAACACTCATGATGGAGCAGTTCTCCCCAGCGTTTCAGAATCTCACATCTCCCCCCTTTCCAAAACACACATTTGGCAGCTGGGAGGGAGTGGGGACCTTGGGGGTCTCTTGGACACATCCTCACACAGCTGCTGACAGTTGGGGCTGGAGAAAGTCTCTGCTTCTTGGCTGCTCTTGACAGCAGCCTTCACCCCTGCGACTCCTCCTTGTTGTTTTCCAGGGGATGGCTGAAAATCTCCAGGTGGAGAGAGGGGCTGGAGCACTCCCACGGAGGGGACAGGGTGAGATGGAAATTCCTGCTGGGGATGAGTCACGCTCCGCGTGCACGACTACGCCTGGAAAAAGCAACCACTGGCAACTGCTTCCCATCCTGCTGCGGGGTTGGGGGGAAAGAAAGGCTTTCTGGTTCCTTTGGGATCTTTTTTTTTTTTTTTTTTTTTTTTGGCTTGCTTTAACAGGGATGCATGGCAGGGCTTAGCAATTGCTGGGAGGTTGCAACCCTTCTCCTGCACGTCAGCCTTTGCCTCAGCATCATACCAAAGTGCCTGGCAGTGGTTATGCTGTGGGATCAGGAGAAGGAAAAATGGAAAGGATGTCTTTGGGGGAACTGGAATGGTGTAAAATTGCTTCTCCAAGCAGGGGTATTCCTGCTGTGCTCAGTGCATTTCCAAGTGGCTACCTCAGCCCCTCCAGTCCCTGGTTTAGGGGTAGGACTGGTGGATGGGAGCAAGCTGTCAGTGGGCCGTGCTGCGGAAGCTGCTGTGTACACACTCCCAGCCTCCAGACATTTCTAGCCTAAACACAGAAGTGAGGGGAAGCCACCGACGTGGTTGTTTTTTGGTGGTTTGGGGTTTTTGGTTGTTTTTTTTTTTTTTTTTTTTCAAAATGATTTTCTTCAGAAAATGCTACTTGGTTGAACTTGCCCTTACATGCACATCTGTGAACCTGTATGGTGCTCACCAGGTTTCAACACATTTCCATCGGGAACAAGCTTACAAGCTTTACACTTTTTTTTCTGCTCTAAGATAAATTATGCTGGAGTTTCACCCAGGTTGGGGAGGTAGCAGAGCTGGGAATAAAATCCCAAATGACTGCCCAATTCTTGGCTAGTATGGCACAAAGCATAGGGTGACTTTTTCTATTTTACCCACATCCCTTGCTTTTTTTTTTTCCCCCCAAGTCCCAGAACAACCGCACAAGTGCCAAACCCCCAGCACTTTGCAGGGTGTGAAAAACATTTTCCTTCCCAGCTCCTGGAGAGACACTGCCCCATTTTATAGAGACAGGAGCCGAACTGTTTGCTCACAGCCGCTGATAGTCAGGCACAAAGGTTTATCTGTGCTGCTGGCTCTGGGAGCATCCTCAGACCCTGGATGCAGCGCTTGGTGCTATGCGGTACCAGTGCCATAACACAGCAAGGTCTGGATCCACACCAAACCCCTCTGCCTCCTTACCCTTGCAGTAACCACCTCGCCAACCCTCTGCATTTTGACCTATCAACTCTTCCTCCATTTCACATTTACCTTTGTGGTATTTTGCCTTGAAATCAAGCAAAACTCACCATCCACCTCCCTGCGTTTCTGCTGTTATAGCTGACCGTGGGAAGCAGGCATAACAGTGCATTTATTTCTGCTTCCCACTCTGTTTAGCATTACATTTTCTGAAAGATCCTCCTGCACCAGAGTCTCCTTCTGAGCAACAAACCGTTGCATTCACTTTGTAGGAAACATCTCTTCCTTGTGTGTCTCCACCAAAGCTGAAACACTCCTGCCTAAAAAACTATTTGTCAATCAGGCAATACCAGAGATGGTTGAGGCAGAGAAGGAGCAGCATTAAACTGGCTTTGAGCGTGGGTTTTCGTTCTGTGATGGAGCTGCAGAGCATAATCTGTGCTTAATTTTGCTGGGGTGTGGGATTCATGCACCGGGAGAATAATAAACTGCCCCCCGGGCTGAATCTCTGGCTGATGGCTGGAATTTGAGGAAATCCTGTGAGTTTCTAATCTTAGGCAGCTTTTTCTGGGTAGTTTATTCCTTTAAATAGAAAGGCTTAAATAGGATTGACTCCTACAATCCTTCTCCTCTGGACTAGTCTGTAATCTTTAGCAGCCAGCAATGGGTGCTTCTCTGTACATCCTTTCAGCTTCTGCTGCAAGGGGAGAACAAGGCATAGGTGGGCTCACCTTCTGCTTCTTTGTCCCATCCAACCCACTTTTGGAGCCAATTTTGGACACAATCAATGGGCAGAAGCAGACTTTGAGTTTTGTGAAACTGGGCAGGCAGAGAGAAGTTATAAATGACCCGTGGGGGAAAGGCTTGAATGTGAGCACAACCCTTTACGAGACACTAGAGGATCCACATGGCAGAAAGCCTCTGTGGCCACAGCCTGTCTTGGGTTTGACTCATTTGTACCACGTGCCCTCACTCTAAAAATAGCCCAAGGACATCTAAAACACCATGCGCTACTAAACCCATGGTGGAAGATGAATGCTCCAGAGATGCTGTTGAAAAGATAGTGGCTACAGATGGGTAAATGTGGAGGCCTCACCTCCAGGTAAGACATTTTGGAGTCCCTAACTGGGTCATTAATTCAGAAGAGCATAATTAACAGAGTAATTTAACTCGGCATGAAAGCCAAAGGCAGAAAGGTCACTAAGTGGTCAGAAGTCAACCTGCTGAAGAAATCCCACTGGGCCAGCTGGTGTTGGCAGCCCAGGCTTGGTGTTGAGTGGGTAACGTGGTGGCACCACCTGGAGACCTTCCCAGCTCCAGGCCTGCCCCCTTGGAGTGGCAGGGAAAAGACCCTGCTATCTGCTGCCACATGTCAGGCCTCTCTCAGGTTTCTCCTGGGCTGTTTGAAGCCCATGGGAGATGGGGAAGGAAGGAGTAGGGGGGAAGGGTGGGTCATGGAGGAGAAGAAGGGTGACAGACCATTGCCCAGGACTGACAGAGCAGAGAAGTCAAATATGATGTGAATGAACGAGATAAAGCCCTGGCCGTGGGGAAACTTGAGCCTGGGTGCATCTCTCTGACATGTGACAGGGCTGGTCATGCCAGGCAAAAGAGGTCCTTGAGGATGCAATCATTTCTGGGGCGAAACGCTGCACGGGTGGGCAGTGCCCAGCCACACTGCATCCCTGTCTTTTGCTGATGTTGTCTGTCTGTCCATGAGAGAGGTGTGGCAGCCGCCTGGATTGCAACTGCACAAAGACACCTTCATCATGGGATCTTCTGGGTGAAATACCTGGGATGCTTTCTAAAGCTTATTTATTTGTTCTGGAAGGGAACATCTTGTTCATCTTCTCTGACTCATGTACAAAGCAGGTCAGAGAGCATTGTCCCCCACAACTTGCAATGGCATGAGGGAATATCTTTTTTAGGCTGACCAATCCTATCTCTGGAGGACTATTTACATTGCTGATCTCCAGGAGAGCAGTCCACCTCGTCTCTGGTGAGCGAATGCAGGTTTCTCCGTAATTTTCCAGTAGGATTTGCAGTGGGTGGTCACAGACTCTAGAGCTTGGCAGCCTTTTCAGTGGTGCTGTTTGCTGCAGAAACCACTTATTTTTATCCTTGTATGGAATAATCATCTCCTGATGTCTGTGCTGAAGTCTGTGATTTGTGCAGCCAAGCTCCCTGACTTTACAAGGTCTGTGCCACCACCCTTTGCAGGCTCCAAAGCAAGACACCAAGCCTGGCTTTACCCATTCTCTTCCTCACCTCTGCAAATCCTTCTTCCTAAACCTATCCCTGGCCCTCCTCCACAGCCAGAAGAGCATGTCCTGAAGGGCAGGTGCCACTGCGTGTTGGCTGATGTTTGGCAACCTATTCCCATGCTGGGCAACAACTTATCTCTGTACATTCCTGTCCAGGAGAAGAGTCCTTGCGCTGCCCCAGCTTCCCCACCCCGCTGATGTGTCTTCAATACCTTCTGATGTGTCCTTAAGGCACAGGGGAGAGCAAACAGAGCATTTTCCTCCTCCCACCACCCAGTCTTGGAGTGCGTGGGAAGTCCGACACTGCTGGGAGATTGCAATGAGTCAGCGTTTGCGCATGCTGAGTCACTGCAGGGAGGTGCCAGAGAGGAGGGGGGGGGGGCGCCCAGCCTCATTGGTGGGGTGGAAATGTCCCAGGAAGAAAATCTGTCTGAAAAAAAATTCCTATTAATGAAGCCTAATGAGCTGTCAAGGACAGGTTACCACCTTGTAGCGTTGCTTCTAGCAGGGCCATCATGGATCTGAAGTGTCACCCTGTGAGGACAGGTTATTGCCTGAATCCTTCCAGATGGCCCACAGCTCATCATTCAGGACGTGTGCCACATCCTTCACCCATGGCTGCCCTTGCAGACCTGTCCTGGGACGTGCCAAGGGGTGACTCTTGGTAGTTCCATCACACCATGTCTGGGGAACCATGCTGTCCCACATGCCATACTGGTGGGGAGGCCATGGAGGAATGACTGGCAAATCCACAAAGCAGGGCTTTGGGAATGTCTTCTGAGTATAACTAATTCCCAGTCCCCCCACTGATGCAGTTTGTAAAATTCTTTTTTTTTTTTTTTAGGTAAAGATGCTTCTCAGCACATGTGATAGCTTTGGATGTGGATTAGCTCAGGACTTCATCCCCGATGCTCAAAGCAGGTTTAAGATTTAAAGGTGGGAGCTGCAGCACAAGCAGGTCCTCTGTGCTAGACACACTTGCTGACCCCCACAGACACTTGAATATCATCGGTCCCTCGATGAACAGCACAGAGTGCACCAGAGGATGCTTTAAATATACAGCCCCAAATCACCCTCTCTCTTGCCAAGCACTTGCTGGCTGTACGGATGCTCCTCACAGTCAGCCTGAAGGAGTCCTGATTATTTTTATCAAGCCCTTGGCTTCTTCTCTCCTTTCTTTCAGCTATAAAATGGGAAAAAAATGAGTCCCTAGGATGATGACAGGTTCAGGAGGGGCAGTGAAGGGGACTTTTCCCTCCACAGGTATGGTGGGAGTTCATCTGCACCACAGTGGAACTAGATCTTCCTCCACAAGATCTTCCTCACTTCATCCTATTTGGGAGTTAACCTATTTGCTTTCTCATATGTGGCTTCCTTTCTCTTCACCCTCTCCTCCTGCTGAAAAGCAGGCCACCAGCAGGCCACAGATGCATGACAAGGGACAAACCCCAAAGAGCTTTACACTGACTTTTTTGCTGTTGTCAAAACTCAATACTCCTTTCAGGTTCCCTGTTCTGGCTATGTTCGGTAATGGAGTGAGGTAGTCCTGGCTTTAGATTTTCACCTCCATTTTCAGCTTGAATGGGATAAATTTCCAGGTCAAGAAGAGCTGGAGGAACCACCCCAGGAGCTTTTGGTCTCAGAGGCTCTGCCTTTAATATGAAATGAATTTTCTGTGCTTGCTCACAGCAGAGGCCAAGCAGGGAGTGAGGCCAGAAAAACAGGGGGTCATGTTGGAGTTTCTTTTTTTCTTCACTTAACACTGAAATAAAAATATATCTCAAGCTTGTTTGGGGATTAACAAGAAAAAAATCATCTTGATGAGAACCATCTGTGGCTGGGAGATGCAGGCTGCTTTCTGCTTTCCACCCAACACACAGACGCTGTTATTTGGGGTGTGTTCCTCTCTCGAATGTTATTCCTCTCATCCCTGTGCTGGTCAGAGGAATCCCAACTATTTAAGGAGGCTTTTCTCTCTGGATGGGCCCAGCATTAAAAAGCAGCAGCAGCTCATTACACCTATATAACATAATATTTGCTTTCCTCATTACAACACCGCTGCCCGGCACAGCTTGCTGGTGGCTGCTGGTCTCACTAGTGTAAATACTGGAAGCATCTTTGTTGTAACCCTTCCACCCCAGACGTTACCTCATGTTCAAAGTAAATATCTCGTGGCCTCTCCGACTTGTCCTGCAAACCAGGGGGGGGCCACAATTCGCCCCCAGGAGCGGAGATGCTGTTGCTCCACATCTGCTCGGCTGCTGAAAATGAGCGTATTCACACCATGGTGTAGAGGACCGCAGTGATTGCTGGGGTGGCTGCTAACCCCACATGGGGCTTGGGGTGTCTGCCAGCGAAATGCCTCTGGGTTGCAGGATTGGCAAAGGGAGGATTAAGAGTTGTGTTTACAGCATCAGAAATTCCAGAGAGAATTTGAAGCAGGAAAAAGCCTCCTAGCCCAGGAAGAGGAGGGGAAACTCAGGATGAAACCATCAGAAGACAGGGCAGGTCTGGTCCCGGGAGGAAAGGAGGGGAGGTTGAATAAGTTTCTCTGCTCTCACCATGCTTCTGGCAGGCGAGGAGGTTGCCCAGCTGAGATGCCTTCTCCTGGGATCGGCTCCTGGCAGGTTGAGCAGGAAGCTGGAAGTGAGACGAGACCAACAGGTTCTCCACGCTGCTGGGGCTGTGCGAGCCGCTCGGACGGCAGCTACGTACCTGACCTGGGAGCCACCCACTTCCGAAGAGCAAGGTGATGAGCTGAGCTAGCTGGGCATGAAATGGGCCAAAATAAGCACTTTAAGGGCTTATAAAAACCTGCTTTGAAGGAGGATTTTTGCGTGGGCCTTACTTGCCATGATATATTCAGAGTGAGCCCACAGCTTGCTTGGGAGATGGTTTGGACTGATTTGCACAAGTGATGGCAGGATGCACAGGTCCTGCCTTCAGTGCCCTCCTGCTTGTCCCCTGAGGACAACCTGCTGCATTGAATGTGGGGAAGCCTGAGTTATTTTAATCTACTAGGACTGAGTTAGCTCACATCTCCTCCATGGAGCCCAGCATGAGCCGGTTGGAGAGGACGATGTTGCTCCCACATCTCCACCTCCTTCCCACTGTGGATGACACAGAGTCTCCCAGTGTCACGGGGACTTGTGGATTTTGCAGTCCAGCAGATGAAGGCAAAATGCCTTCCATCTTTGAGGCCATAGCAAAATCCATCTGTAAGACATCAGCTTGTCCCTGCAGCTGGGGGTGCAGCCCATGCTCCTGCCCCAGGAACGCGGGATGCTCTGACGCTGCTTTGCCCAGCCCTGCTCTGACCACAGACTGGGAATAGTCACTGCTGCTCTCCTCAGCCCTGCCCATCCTGCCTGTCTTGCATCCCTAGGGATTTGTATGATGATTGCTGAAACTCCCTTGGGTTTCATCCTGCCCTGGCACCGCAGGACCACAAGGACAAGGAGCCCTCGCAGCTAAGTACTGGCTCAGCCCTGGCCCAACCAGTGCGCCCAGTTCAATGGGATTGTTTTGCTTCTGGTGACCATGAGGAGGTAGCAGGAGCTGTGCCAGCACAGCTTGGGTTGCAGAAGTGAAACCCTTGCTGTGTCCAGGCCCTTTGTCTCCTCTTGCTATTTCACACCCGGCTTTGATTTCATCTAGGAGAGCAAAGACGCTGCCTATGGACTCTGGGCTTGAACACAAAGATAAAATCGTGTAGTAGTGTGGCAAGTTAGTGATGCAAACAGAGCAACGAGGCATTGGGAAGAGCTGTGTGGTCTCAGGTCTTAACATGGTGCTAAAAATCTCCTGGGAAAGGTTTTCATGGGGGCTTTGGGGCCAGAGACCTTGAGCTGCTCCAGGAAAGGATGGGCAGCGTACAGGCAGTTCTGCCTTTTGACTCACCTCGGGTTATTTTAAGGTGCTCATGCTCTCTCCATGCATATGTTCTCCTGGGTGGCTGCACACAGAGTCTGGCTCACTCCTGAGTCAAGGCTTGCCTGGTTCCCACCACGCAAGCTGAGTCCTCCCTGGCTCTGACACACGAGCCGGGGGTCCAACTCCACATCTATGCTTGGATGAGTTTTGCAAGATGAAGGGTGACCCCCTTCATCCATCCGTGCATTTATCCTTTCTATCTGAACCACTTAACTGGCTCGATTGGCTTTGCAGTAGGTTGTAACACTCCACACCAGAAGAGGATAGTGTTCCTGCTTTTCTAGTGAGGTTTTTTTGAGGGGGGGATTTTGAACTTTTTAAGCGCACTCAACCTTCAGGAAACACCAGCTCTGACATTGGGCACTCCACTCTGCTTACAATCCTTTCCATGAGCCCAGGCCACCCAAATGCTGGCTAGCACACGTGTTGTTCTGCAAGCCCGATTCATCTTCCCAAAATTTATATTAAGGCCCTGATGGGCCAAATATGCCCCAAAATGCCAATCTGACTTTAGCAGAGGAACGTATTTGTGCATAGTTACTGATGCTTGGACAGCTGAACTCAGACGCACCCCACACACGCTGTATTTCACCCATCAGAAAAGCAGTTTACAGATTAAATTTATATAAACCACTGGAACTGCATCATGTAGAACCACATTACATTGTAACAGGAAGAAAAGATGTTGCTTTATTAGGAAGGGGGGGAAATCGATTCACATAGCATTTTTCAGACAATGAGGTTTTGAACTCTGGGTGGGTTTAATTTCGGCATTGTTTGTGCAAACACGTTCCATCACAGACAGACTTATCCAGAGGCTGTGATGGGTTTTTCATCCCAGCCTACAGATAAAGCCCCTGTTATGGGGTCAGTGAACCTTCAAGTCTTGCGTCTCTGTCCGAGAAAACGCCGGGATGGAGATAATCAGAAAACTGATGTTCCCCTTTGCCTTGCTGAATAAGAGAGGCTTTGTTCAGGGGTACAGGTCAGGTCTGTGGCAAAGCCTCTTGCAAGAGATTTTATTTCAGCTACCTGCAAAAGAGCTATGAGAAGAATGTGGTAGGTTCTTCTCGGTCTGGAGAAACGGAGAGATATCACCCAAAGGTGTTGTTTAATATTAACTGGACCAGTGCACATCTATGAAAGGTTTGATTGTGTGCCTATCTGAGTTTATATAAAAACATCACCTCCAGTGTTGTATTAATGTGGCTAAAGTCTTGCAAAGGCTGGAGCAGGTGAAAGTCCTCCTGGAGGGAGCTGCATCAATGGTTGTTTTTGTCAATAAAGATAGATTTCTGTGTCGGCATCAGGAATATAAACCATGAGCCCTGACCTTCCTGTGCTCGGTGATGTTCAGGCACAGAACAAAGGCATTATCGAAAAGCCTCAGATTAATGTTTCGGTTAAGAGACAAGAAGGGGCGGGAAGGCAGGGAGCAGAAGGGAACATCTCAGCCCTGTTTGCACGGGAAAACTGGCGGGCGCCTCTTGGGAGAGTGCTGGGGTTTTCTTTCCAGGATGGATGTGATGGGAGCTCCTCCAGCAAAACCCACCGTGATCACCATGCAAGTAAGGTTTGGCCTTCATACTCATCCTCTCTGACTCTTTGGGCCAGATGGTATCAGAAACATTTTTGGCAAAGCTCCTTCTCAAAGGGCAGGGAAACCTTGCTTCACATGATGACAAATGTATTTATTTCCTTGCTGTTTTAGCTACATTAGCTTATTAAGTGGACCACATCTAGGATCTAGAAAACACTGTTAAATACAGTCATTTTGACTCATTAGTTCAGAGATGGCTTTACCTACGTGCCCTGAAGTTCTCACAATACGCCTTAAACACAGTCTGGCAGTGGGTGGATAACTATTCCCACCTACAGCTAAATACACATTTCAAAAAAGGTGTTGCAGGCTTGAAATTGTATTTTCTGCCACCAATTATATAGGCAGGACTGGATTTTCCTCCCTTAAAATACCTTAATTCAGGCAATCACCAGATAGTGAGAAGGATGCTGGTTTAATGGTTTTTAGAAAGGGAGAAAAAGGATCCTTGGTGGTGCCTAGATGTTCAATTCCAGGAGCAATAATCTTTATTCATCTCTTTTCATAGATGATGTGGTGTATAACCATCTTGGAGTGGTCTGGCTGCATCCTCCTGACCCTTGAGCACTGAGGGTGGAGGAGCAGGACCAAAGACCTGTCCCATCTGTACACTCATCGTCTGCGTGATGCTGGTTTGTGTCACTAGAGGGGAGGAAAGGAAATGGAACCTGCTCCGTGGTACCAAGAGGATGCACAGATGTGTCTTGGGGTCACCATGCGCTGCATCCCAGTGACGAGTGCTGCTGGCTGGGTCAGCGTGCTGAGTCACTTTGGTTTTCTGTCCACTAGACAAGATATCTCCCTCCTTCAAAGAAATTCATGTGGATACCAGATGTATTCTTTCTGCTAACAATGTGTGGCTGTAGTCAACAGGCATGTGTTTCATGAGTGAGGCCAGCTGCAGACCATAGGAAGATGGAGAATGAGACGTCTGGTCTAACTCCCTGCCCCTCAACTGAGCTGGAAGGGGAGCTACTAGTCCAGACTTACATCCAGATATTTATTTTACTGCCCTACTAATTGAACACAGCCATGAATGTCTCCAGCACTCATAGAACTTTGGTAATGAAGGCTGATGTGTGAGGTGATATGGGATTTTGTACTAATGCATGCCTATTTTTTTCCCCTGTAGCAGACCTGTATTTAGCCTGAGCTTCATACTGAGAGCAGGAGCTGAGTGTTATAGATGGGCTCATTACTTCCAGTTGTGTATTTAATGCAGGAAAATATACCAATAAATGAAAGGTCAAAAGCTTGGGATCCAGGACTGAGACTTGCCACCAACTCAGCTGTGGGTACCTTTTGTGGCAATGCCTGTCTGTGTCAGTTAAGAAGTCTGCACAAGGTCATGCACCACTTCACACCTCATCTTCAGCCAGGAGGCTGTGGACAGAGTGATCAGACCCATGCTTCTCCAACCAAGCCCTCTGAAGAGCTGTGGTGCCAGTTGGGGAGCCGTTTGCATAAGATATTGCTACAGGGCAATGTCCTTTAGGGCTTCAGAGGGAAAGAAGGGCACAGGGCACTCTTCCTCTTGAGCAACCTTGATGGAGACAGACATCCCTCACCTTGTCATTGGACCATCATCACTACAAAGTCTCCTCCTGGCTCCTCCAGATCTTCTCATCTTTTGACAACCGACCTCTCCCCCTCCTCCATCCTTATATTGCCTTTTTGCCCATCTGAAGACAGTAGATGCTTCTTGCAACCCACTCTTTTGAGCTTGCCAGCTTTAACCTTACTGTCTTCTTCTGAGTTTACAGAGCCAGTTGCTGGGAAAGTTCATACTTTGCTCCCGAGGAATTGATTTGGAGGATGGTGGTGGAGAGGCCAGACACTGTGATAGCCAACAGCGTGATCAAACGCTGGTTAACCTTTGCCCAGGTGTACTCCACTTGCCTGTTCAAGTGGTCAACTACACCTTCCAGATATGAAAGAAGAGGAAATACCTCGTGTGACTGACCTGATAATACACCTTACATCATATTCTGCATTTATTTATGTAAACCATCCTATATCTAAACACCATCCCCACAGTGGAGGAGCACCTAGTTTGCAATAAAGTCATCAAATGGGGAGACTTCTGCTTGTGTTTAGCATTTTCCCTGGTCATTTCTTCTAACAGCTAAAAAAAATGCTAGCTTATTTTCTCAATTGAC